GAAATACACACGCACACAACACGCAACACGCACACGGTCAGCCTCGGGGCGAGAGCGCGCAGGGGACTGTCTGAGAGCTCGTACCGAGGTTGCCGGGTCCCATCTTGTTGATGTGCTGGCGCTTGGCGACGTCGATGAGAATGGCGGCGAACCAGAGGAAGAGGGTGCGGTGCGGCTCGGCCAGCCGGTCGGGGAAGGTCGCGCAGGCCGCCTCGTCGCCCACGCACCGCTCGTACTCGCCCTTCGGCATCGCCGCAAACACGCGCACTGGCAACTCACCAAACCACCGCTGCCGAGCCCAACATCAAATCGTGTGAGCAATACGCACCGCACACGACGCACGACACGCACGACATACAACACGAACACACCTTGATGAGAGTAGCGACGGCGTTGACATCGATGCAATCGGTGTAGGAGCCGTCGCTGACTTGTTTCTTGATGAGGTTCATCTCGAGCTCGTCGCCGGCCAGTCGGAACAGTCCCTCCTGCTCCAGCGCGTTCTTCTCGTACAGGGTCTTCCGCATCTGCGCCAGAAATGCCGGCACTTGGAAGCCTGCGACACGACACGACATCAGACACGTCACGACACGACACTCGCGCGCCGCACACGCATACGCACACGTGCACACGACACGCACCGTTGTCTTCAACGTGTGGCAGAGTGGAGGGATCGATGCGGAAGACGGAGAAGGGCTGCTGCTGGTTCTTGGTGATGGCCTTCTCCTGGGAGGCCGTGAGGACCGTCCGCCGGCGCAGGGTGCCGCCCAGCCCGCTCATGAGCGTCGACATGCGGGGAGGCGCCGACGGCGACACCTTCTCCTTGAAGTGCACCCGCGTCTGCCACCGAGGAGCTCTTGAGTCAGTCACACGACACACACGACACACACACGACATACACACGACACACACGACACACACACACACACGACACACACACACACACACGACACACACACACAACACGTACGAGGTGTCCAAAGTTGTAGTGGCTGAGGCGCTGCATGTTGTCGAGGACGACCTCGTCGTCGTTGCTCGTGGCGGGCGGGATGACCAGGTGGTAGGCCGACGTGTTGGTGGCCTTGCAGTACCGGTTGAACTGGCGCATGGCCTCCATCACCTGCGTGTCCGACGAGAACTGGAATGTCTTCTTGATCCCTGCGTTGTGTGTGTGTGTGTGTCCCTGTGAGCATGTGAACCGCACACACGACACGACACGCACACGCATGAAACGACACACGAGAGGAAACGGAACCGTGGGTCGGGGATTCAATGATCAGATAGACCTTGTCATCGCCAGCTTCCTTCTCGGCCGCTGAACCGACGCATGCATCGCAGCCGAGTTGAGACACGACACACGACACACGACACACGACACACGACACACGACACACGACACACGACACACGACACACGACACACGACACACGACACACGACACACGCACACGCACACGCACGATCGCACATGCGGGCACGACACACAACGCATTTGACACGCAACAGGGCGGGTACCCAGGAGTTTGTCGAGTCGCTGGGTCGATTTCTGGGTGGCGGTGATGGACTTGGAGATCTTTTTGAAGTGGAGCAGCGTGTGCGAGTTGAGGCGGTAGGACGCGATCGTCCGCTTCTCCTCGAGCATGATCTCCCCGCCCTTCTCCATCGGGAAGAACAGGCAGTACTCGTTCGGCTTCTCCAGCGTCGTCCTGGTGATCGCACCACACCTCTCGCGTCAGCGCGTGTTGCGTGTGCGGTGGTGTGTGTGTGTGTGTGTGTGTGCGTGTGTGTGTGTGTGTGTGTGTGTGTGTGTGTGTGTGTGCGGTGGGAGAACGCACTTCTTGCGGATGATGGTGTGAATTTGCTGGAGGGTCTGCTTGACGCTCGACTCGGGCTGGGTGGCGATGTTGAAGGTGGTGCCTTCCCACTCCACCTTGAGCACCACCTGCGTTCGAATCAACTGCAGCACGGTCTGTCCGGGCCAACGGCAGGGTGGTGGTGGACGCGGGGCGTTGTGGTGAGGAATGTAAAACACGTTGGAATGTGTGCTGCGCGCGCCTTTGGGCAGAGAATGTGTCTGGAATGCAGTGAATGTACCATGGGTTCGAAGGCGAAGTTCTTGAGGGGCTCGAGCTTCGACAGCGGACCCCGCGTTTTGTTTTCCTTGAGAAAGAATGCATAGTCGTTCACATCCTACAACTCACATGCACAACTTTAGATCACGACACGACACGCACACGCACACGCACACGACACGACGCACACGACACACGCACACGACACGACGCACACGACACACGCAGAGCAGACGTACGGGGAAGGGATTCTTTTTGACGAGCTGGGCGAGGATGTCGTTGAGGGTGGCGTCCTCGTCGGTGCGGATGGTGCGCTGGAACTTCTGGTCCAGGCATTCGACGACGATGGCCACGCGGCCCTCGTCGACGACGAAAGGCACCGGCGGCGGCGAGGACGGCGGCGACGTGCTCAGGACCTCCTCCGGCTTCGAACCGAACCCGAAGAACTGGCGACCCCGCATCATCAGTCCACCGCACACGCACACGCACCACCGCACACGACACACAGACGCGAGTGACGTACGGCCTTGCCACGCCGCACAGAGAGGTACTTGTTGTTCGACCGCGGGCTGGTGTCCTCCCTGGGGTGCGCCGTGCCCGCCGCCCACCCTCGGCTGTGTACATCACACCATGGTGAGCTGTGTGTCGTGTGTGTCGTGTGTGTCGTGTGTGTCGTGTGTGTCGTGTGTGTCGTGTGTGTGTGTCGTGTTTTGGAAGCTAAAGCGAACCTGGGCCGCTGGCTGCTGATCTCGTCGGGCGACCGTGGCGAGGCGATCGGGGACCGCGGGCCTCGCGGCGACGTGACCCACGTGGTGACCGGCTTCGCCGCAGCCGGCTCTCCGGAGTCGCCCGCGCCGCCGCTGTTATTGGTGCTGGTCGTGCTGGTGGTCGTGGCGCCGCTGACGCTGATGTTGCCGCTGCTGGTGGTGATAAGGTCGGCGTTGCTCTCGGCCGTGTCGCTCTTGCCCTTGCTCCTCCGCTTGACGGTCGACGGCGAGGCCAGCGGCGATGACGGATGCGACCCGCCGGAGTCGCTCCCGCTCCCGCGGTCCTTCCTGCGCCCGAAAGACCGGCGCTGCTTGGGCGATGAATCGTCGCTTTCGCTGCCAGCGGCGTCGTCGCCTTGGCTGCTGCCGTCGTTGGTGCGCGATCGGGCCGAGCCGAGGAGGCCACCGCGCCCACCGCGTCCCTCGCCGCCGCTCCCGCGCTGCTTGCGGCCCGTGTCCTCGGCGGAGGAGGCGCTGGGCGCGTCGGCCGAGTGCGGCTGGCCGTCGTCTTCGTCGAGCGGTCGCGTCGCAAAGGTGCCGGAGAGACGCGCCCACAGGTTGCCCTTCTTCTCTCGCGGCCGCTGCGTGGCCACCAAAAATTAGAATAAGAAAGAAAATAAGATTAATAAGATTAATAAAACAGGATTAGGTATTGGAAAAACGAAGAAGGGAGATTATGAGAGATGGGCGCGAAGGAGGAGGAAAAGATTGAGGCCTCATAAGTGTCCCTCATCCAAATAAATCGGAAAAGTAAAATGCCCAAAGAGAGAAGGCCTTTGGGGGGGGGGCAAGAACGAAGAAGATCGGGAGGCGGCGGAGAGTACCGAGTCGACGTCTGTGCTCATGGAAGATGCGGACGATCAATCTACGTGCCTAGACTCCCGATTATGGCGCGAGGAAGCTCAAGGTGGGCTCTCGGAGACCAGGACAATTTTGTCTGGTAGCTAAAAGAATAATAAAGAAAAAATAAATGTTCTGCCCTAGTGGTGGTCTCCTGTGCTCTTTGTTAGCTCAAGCCCATTGGACCTAATTACCAGTTAATTTTATAAATGAGTGGGGACAGATATGTTCTTTTCTTTCATAATCTTTGATTTTTTTATTCACAAATAAATAAAGGCCTTCTCTATGTACATTCACGACGGTGCTGGCAGAGTAGGTGGTCATCTCTCCAGTCAACGTGTCCACCACAGCGCGAGTGCGGCGGCGGAGCATCAGATGAACTCGCCGACCGAGCCGGTGTTGCGGTCCAGCGTGTGGTAGCGCCACGAGAGCCGCTCCTCCTCCTGCGCCGTACGCACGCAGGCCGTGAAGACGATGATGGGCAGCAGCAGGCCCGAAGAGAACACGCAGAAGAACCATCCGACCTGGCACCACCCACAACACCGCACACATCGCACACGCTTGACACGTCAGCACGGAGCGAGGAGAACGCGTGTGCGTGTGCGTCAATGAGTACCGAGGGTGCCCAGGTGAAGTGCGCGTCGACGTTGACGGTCTGGTTGGTGCCCGTCCAGCTGAGCTTGAACGGGACGTCATGGTGGGCGCCCATGCCGGCGATCTTGCGGCTGCGGCACCACAGCGGGTCGTCGAGGTCGTCGAACATGGCCGCCGGACAGAGACCGTCGTCGCCCAGGGCCGACGGGAAGCGGAAGAAGAGGGTCCACGCGAGGAGCGCGAACACGAACGCGCACAGGGCGAACACAACGGCGATCCACTTGCCGTTGCCGCGCAGCACACGGGCGCACGCGGTGGCGGTTCGGCGTACGATGAGGCCGAAGAAGAGGAACAGGATGAGCGCGAGCGCGAAGGCCAGCGCGAGGATGACGAAGACCTGGCTGGTGATGAAGGCCGAGCGGACGTGCTTCGAGCCGGCAGGGAGGTCGTCCCACGCCACGATGCGGTTCTCGGGGTAGAGGCTCTTGAGGTGGCTGTGCGGGTCCTTGCTGGTCACCTGGACGTACATACCCTTCCACGTCCACTGCCGCGTGAGCCGCCCATTGACGTTAACCTTGGAATCGCTTGTTCGGGAGTGGGAGATGTCGATTGACTCAAGATGCCTTGATGATGAAAATGAAATTAATTGAAATGCAAATTGACGATGGTAGGAGATGCAACCAACGCACGATGGGCGTACCACGGGAATATGAGGGCAACCGCGAGAAACGCAAGCAGCAGGAGGGTAATCAGGGCTGCTAGCGATTGCCGAGTCACGAAGCGAGGATAGCGGATCGCCATTTCTCTTGTGTACAATGCTTGATCTTTTTCTTCTGCCAATTATCGATTCTTGTAGTAGTGAACGCAAATGAGGGATTTGACTGGCAGCCACTAGCGCACTACTCGTTCCGTGGTGGACGCGAAACTTCACCCTGCTTGCCTTCTCCCTTCTTGCCTCCTCTCCAACCAGAGCTCGTTGCGCTTTGGGCTCCGCAGAGAGACGGACATGAGGAGACAACAGTACGGGTAGGAACAGGCAGGAAGAGAGAGGAAGAGCGAGGCAAGGAACGCGTAAAGGAAGATAACAAGTGAAGGTGTACGCGCTTCCCTCTTCAAGACCAGCAAGCTTACAGGGTCTCCTCGGTGGGAGGAGGGTTGCCGCAGGGCCGAATCATTTTCTGTAGAGGAGGAGCACGCACGTAGAAGGAGAAGGGTGGGTTGTGGTGAGTTGTGATCGCGTGACGGAAACGTACAGCACCAGTCACAACGAGGAGCGCGTTCTCTTCGTGTGGATAGAAGCACACTCGTGTGCGAAGCCATGTAGCGAGTAGTGAAGCTGTGCCGTACCTGGAGGAGGTTGTACTTGATCCTGCCAATGGACTCGTTCTCGGCGATGGCGAAGTACTCGAGCATGGAGAAGTGGCCCATGTAGGAGGCCAAGCTGTCTCGCTGCTGGTTGACCGCCCACTCCCTGCAGCCACGGCAACGTGCACAACACCGGTGAGGAAGAAGCGGCAGGTGCAGTCCTTTCCGTTGGGGGGGGGGGGCAAGATGCGCAAAATAAGGGGGAGGGTGTTACCATCGCGTCGTGTCGGGGTGCCCTGTGCCCACATACTTCATCTGCAGGTGCTCAGCCTGGCTGTTGAGGAAATCGCGGGACATCTTGGCCTCTGGGCGTACAATCTGCCTCCTCTGAATCGATTTGATTGATTGGAAGTTTTTGAAATCTGCTTTTTCTGAGCCTTTTCATACACTATTTCTTTTATTTTTAACTTTATTTTGCTTTTTCGCCGCCACAGTCGCCGAACAACTTTCTGGGACAAGGCCGAGAGGAGAGCTGCACTCCCTTGACAAACGCAACCAGACAACAAAGCAGAAGAAGGAGAAGGAATGGAGGCTGGCAGTAGCAGATGCGTCAAGGTGGAGCTGGGACAACCGGAGGCGGAGACACAGGGGTGTGAGAGGGTGCGGGTGGTGGTCATCAGCGACACCCACAACGAACACGGACACAACTACATCAAGATACCGGACGGCGACATCCTCGTCCACTGCGGCGACTTCACCCACAAGAGTGCGCCCCTTCATGAAGTAAATAAAGAAAAGTAAATAAATAAATACCTATTACTAAATAGAAATCTTAATCTACTGCTCCACCTCGAAACAGGCGACTGGCGAGGGCTCAAGGAAGGAGAAGTGCCGCAGAGCCTGCACAAGTTCAACGAGTTCCTCGGCACCCTGCCCCATGAACACAAGATCGTCATCTCTGGTACTGGCTGCCGCTACTCTCTTGTGTGGGGTGGTTGCTTGTGTGGCCGACTCTCTCCTCTGTCGCTCTGCTTGCTCTCTCAGGCAACCACGAGATTGGGTTCAACAACCTCAAGCGCCGCGAGATCCGCCAGCTGCTGTCCAACGCCACCTACATCGAAGACCAGACGGTCGTGGTGAAGGGAATCCGATTCTACGGCTCACCGTGGACCAGCTCGACGTACGCTCGCTTGCTCCTCAACCCATTGATGGCCATAGTTCTCTTTGTCTCATTGTATCATCGCCGATGTGTGTCGTGTGCGTGTGTGTGTGTCGTGTGTATCGATCGTGCAGGAATATGGCGTTCAGCGCAAGACGATCGAAGCTCGGGGAGAAGTGGGCGAAGATCCCAAACGACACCGACATCCTCATTACGCATCTCCCACCCTTTGGCGTGCTCGATCAGGCCTGGGTCGGCTCGCCTCCGAAGGGTTCGTAGCAGCTACAGCTTGCTTTCGAATTGCTCTCCAGGTGGGCTTGAGCGCGCCGGGGGCTCGTCCTGACCTGTGTGCTACCCTGTTACATCAGATACTCCACGCGAAGTATGCGAAGTGTGCGGGCACGTGCACCCATCTCACACGCACTGGGGCCACCAAGAGCTCCTGCGGCGAGTGGTAGAGGTACGCTCAAATGTCTATCTATGCGTGCGATGCGATGCGTGCGGTGCGTGTCGTCTGGCGTGGATGTTCATTGCTTTGTGCAGGAGATTCGACCGAAGGCGCACCTGTTTGGTCACGTGCACGATACGCCGGGCACGAGGGCGATTGGGACGCGTCACCTTCATCAACGCAGCAACGCACATCAGTCGCAAGACCCACTAGTTCGACTACTACGTGCGCCCCTCGTAAACCACCGACAGAGGGGCATGTCAGAGCCCAGTCCTCCAATCCAAGGCCTGTAATGTTATGTTCGGCGGATCCAATATATTCACCTTTTTCCTAGAAAAGGGATTGCTTCGTTCATCGTCACTGGGTAATGGGGATCACCTTACTTGCTTAGAAGTACGATCACGTTATCGCAACCCACACTCAACATGCAAGGAACATTCCAACAGCATCAACAACAACAGGCCCAAAGCGTTCGCCCTGCACCGTGGCATGCGGTGGTGGCGAACGGTGCCTGGTGGGCACCGGTGGCTGCGGGCTGTTGGTGTGGCGAGCTGTGGTGCTGCACGACGCCCTCGCCGCTGCCGAGCTGGCCACCGATCTCTTCTTCGGGGTGCTCGACCTCGTAGGGCACATCACAACCACACACGACATTCTTCAGTCCTGTGGCTCCGAGTCAGACGACCCGGCAGAGTCCCACCCTCTCACCCACCCTGGACCCTGAGTCCAGAGTTGGGCGATGAAGCAAAGAATGCGAAGCTGTCGCTTCTTTTTCTGCTGTCGACTTTTTTTTACCTTTTCGCAACCCGGGTTTTTTTCTGCGTCTCTTCCGGTGGTTGTCGGTGCGCATTCGCTGCTGCGTCATCAGCCGGGAAGGGTAGGGGGTGTCGACATGCTCACTTTCCCCAGCTAGCGACCCTCCACTTCTTGGTCGTCAGCATGCGGTCGACATCCAGCCCAACTTTCGCACCTGAGCAACTATATAAACAGGGTCCACCTGGCCACAATAGACTCACCACACTCCAACAGCAAACAGCAACTCTACAACACCCACAACCATCAACAACATCAACAATGTCTCTCTTCGGCTACACTGATCCCTGGTCCGACCTGCGCGACATGCAGAGGCAGATGGACAGGCTCATGGGCTGGGCTGGCGCGGACATCACCCCTACCGGCTTCGCCGAGGTGCCCCTGCTCACCGGTGGCCCGACCACCACCACCGGCCGCGAGCTCGGTGTGACCCCCCGCATCGGCTCCGGCGCCGGCCAGCTTGCGTTGGGTCAGTGGAACCCCTTCATGGACGTGCGCCAGACCGACAAGGGCCTCGTGGTCCACGCCGAGCTGCCCGGCTGCAACAAGGACGACATCAAGCTGAGCATCGACCAGAACCGGCTCGTCCTCGAAGGCCAGAAGAGGACCCACCACAAGGAGAAGGGCGAGAACTGGGTGCGCAAGGAGCGCTTCGAGGGCTCGTTCTACCGCACCCTGCCCCTGCCCCGCGGCGTCGAGCCCAACCAGATCCAGGCCAACTACCAGGACGGCGTGCTTGAGGTCTTCGTTCCCACGCCCGCCGGCGCCCCGCAGAAGCAGGCGATCGACATCAAGTCCTCCCAGGCATCCACCAGCGGCCAGGAGCAGCAGATCAGCGGCCAGGAGCAGCTGGGCGAGAAGGGCAAGGAGCAGGTGCCCATCGGCGGCGAGAGGGGCCAGAAGTAAGCTGCGCCCAATCGGCCAGACCCCCTCCTCGGTCCACCGACCAATCAGCTAGAGCGCCGACCCAGCCAACCTTTTTTCTCTTCGTGTGACGTCAGCGCCTCAGCTTTTGTGAATAACTCTAGCCACAGAAATAAAGAGCTTTTATTTTGTGACAACACTTCTCTACTTCTTCTTCTTCGTCTTGTACAACAGTGATGGGGACTGGGGTGGTCATGGCGGGCACTCGATGATCTGAGCCGGCGTGGAGTACCGGGCCTTGAGCTCACGGTAGTCGGCCGTCTGCTTGTCCACGGACCACTGGTGCTCGTGGAACCACCGCAGCTGCTCGAGGAAAGAGGTGTTGGGAAACACCCGCCGGCGACGTCCGACCACGGCCAGCGCCTCCTCCGTCGACACCTGCAGCTCGCGCATGATGAATGCCACCACTTGACATACAATGCCATTGCGTTGCATTCCAGGTCAGCCGAGGCACATTCCACAGGCGCGACCGCAGGCAGTCGAGCGCACCGAGGGTCGCTGCTCTAGACACGCCCAGCATGCTACGGTCCGTCACGATGAGTTGTTTGCATTCATTGAACACGATGAGGGTGATGTGGTGGTACCAGTGCACGAGGACTTTGCCGTTCTTTAGTCCGTCCTGCATGAACTTGAGCGCATGTTCTAGGACCTCTAGCAGGTTGCAGTTCTCGGTCTCGTCTGCCTTGATCACCATGTACCGAAAGTCCTGCCGAACCACGCAGCCATTGGCACTCACTCGAACGACCACCACGATCGCCACGAAGAAGCCACACTCCACTCCCACTCACGCCGACGAAACATCGAGTGATCGACCAGCTGCCCCCAGCCCATGATGGGCGGAGGGCCACAAGGACAGGAGCGGAAGTGGATTTGGCGTGGGGCGAGCGTACGTCCGGCCAGAGCGGAGGCATGCACTCGGCGCTGAGGATCGAGCCAATTTTCTGCTCCTTCAGCTGGATCCGCTTGTAGACCGCCCCCAGTTCTCCCAGGAACAGACCGGGGAACACCTCCTCCGCGGGTAGGCCTATGAGCAACACCCAGTACCGCCCCCAGTATTTTGAGTCACCAATCAATATTGGGCCAAATACAACGCGGAAGCCCCCCCCCGGTGAGAGGCGTACCTGGTTCGGGAGAGACCATTCGCAGCATGAACTGGTAGTGGTCCATGTGCCAGACAGGTGGAAGGGCACCGATGGAGGTCGAGGCTAGGACGCCAAGGAAGTCGCGGACCAACAGCAATCGAATAGGTCCCATTCTAATGGCCCCACGCCCTTTGGGTCGAGGGCTACCGCCCTGACTCGGCCGGCTGTCCGACGACGAGTTAATAGCAAACAACCGGGGGCTGGCACTGTTCGAATCAGTGGTAGGTCGCTGAGGAGCTCGGCCATCATCATCGAGTCGTCCCAGAGGAGATGCACGTCGGGGCTGAGGAGGAAGAGGAGCTGCTGCTCGCGCTTGATCCACACGACGCGCTCAAGATCATCTTTAAAGCTGCCGACGGTCTTGATGTGCGGGGAGGCCACAGCGACGCGGTGCTGCTCGCGATTGGCTGTAATGACCAATAACTCGAGCGGCTCCGTAGCGGACGGTGGGCCAGACATCACCGTGACTGGAGAGTCCTGTCGGACCCCAGTCGGACACAAAGATGCCGCACTGTCTGTGTTCATCTTTTCTTCTTCGCGCGTGAGCTGGACTGTGAATGGACCACCTCCCGCCACCTCTGGCCACGCTCCTGTCAAGCACTTGTCTGTCGGGGGCGTAGAAGAAGTGTAATACTGTGTGCACCCAAGATCCGTACGGGCGGGTGTGACTCCACCTGAACGTGCTCGAAGAAGTGATGCAGCGGTGGACCAATGCGCCCCGAGGCAAAAAGAGAGAAATATTGTTATGTGTACCCAAAAGGCAATTCCAAATAAGTCATCCTCTACTCAAAGGAACGCAACAAACGTGTAGGCCGCGCCATGTGCGTACCTGTGCCCATATCTCGGCGCATGACTAGACATGTGCCTAATCTCAATGGCATATATGAGCTAATCGACCTGTCAGGGCACATGCTCCAGATACACTCCGCTCACGCTCACCACGGGTACAAGTCCGAGGCCCACATGTGGGTGCTCCATTCCGCAGAACAGCAAAAGGTACAACACAACTTCTTCTGCTTGCCACGTAAGCGTGACAAGGATCAATAAATGAAAAATCCAACTGTGGCAAAATAAATTGTAATCAAAAAGAAAAGCCAGCGCCAAATGCTAGCTCATGAAGTGGTAGGTGGGCAGGGCGACCTCAACCCGAGATGGAAGTCGAAGATCGACACGCATGCACCCGAATACAAGAAGAACCGGCTGGAGATGGAAGGGCTCGTCGATGAGTTGCACGAGCGACTGCGATTGAGCCTCAATCAAGGTGACCCCAAATCGATCAACCGCCACCTTCAGTCTGGCCAGCTACTTGGTTCTCCCCTCTTCATTTGTATTATTCTTATTATATTTTATTCTTTATTTATTTTAATAGAACTATTACTTGCTACGCGACTGCAGCGCGTGATCGTATCGAGCTGGTGCTCGATCAGGACTCGCCGTACCTCGAGCTGATGCCCCTCGCCGGCTACGGCCAAGACGGCATCGAGCTGGGTGGGTCGCTCGTGGGCGGCATCGGCCTCGTCTGGTACATTCGACCACGGCCTAGTGGTAAGCAACAGTTCACTCTCCAAAATTTGATGCGTGTATCTGTAGCGGAGTGGAGTGCATGGTGTCGGCCAGCGTGAGCACCATCAAGGGCGGAGCGATGAACGAGATATCGGTGATGAAGTCGCTGCGCCTGAGCGAGATCGCCTACGAGAACCGACTGCCCTGCATCGCCCTCATCCAGTCGGTGCGTTTGATCGATCACGACACGACACGACACGACACGACACGACACGACACGACACGACACGACACGACACGACACGACACAACCATGGTGCCTGTGCTTATTACTGTGGTCTTTGTAGGCTGGAGCCGATCTGCGGCAGCAGGACAAGGTGTTCCACAGAGGCGGCGCAGCCTTTCGAGAGCTTGCCAAGCGGGCCAAGGCCGGCCTGCCCACCATCAGCGTCGTCTTTGGCAGCAGCACGGCCGGTACTCCTCCTCGACCGACACGACACGACACGACCAACGACACAACAGTAACTCTTTGTGAAGGTGGAGCGTACAACCCGGGTATGTCCGACTATGTGATCATGGTCAAGAATCAGGCCAAGGTCTTCCTTGGCGGCCCTCCGCTGGTGAAGATGGCCACCGGAGAGGAAGTCGATGACGAAAGGTTGGCTGTGTAGCGCATCGGCGTCGCGTGTCACCTGTCGTTGAGTGCGGTTCTCATTGTGTGTGTGTGTGTGTGTGATATGACAGTTTGGGCGGAGCGGACATGCACAGCCGGGTGTCCGGCGTGTCGGACTTCTTGGCAGTCAACGAGCACGACGCCATTCTGAAGGCACGCCAGGTCGTTCACAACCTGCACTGGACGAAGAAGACTGCACTCCCAAGGAACCACTTCAGCGAACACATCGAAGAGCCCTTCTACGACCCCGGTACCTTCCCTTTCAAGTTTCAATTCTTCATTCAATTTGCTGACGCACGACACGCACCACACACACACACACGACACACACACGACACACACACACACACACACGACACGCACACAACACGCACACACGACAGAGGAGATATTGGGGGTAGCGTCGGCCAATATCCGAATCCCGTTTGACGTGCGCGAGGTGATCGCCCGCATCACGGACGGTTCGCGCTTTACCGAGTTCAAGCCCCTCTACGGCTCCACCCTCGTCACGTGCTTCGCCAAGGTGTTTGGCATTCCTGTCGGCATCATCTCCAACAACGGTACTCTACCATCCACACGTCTCCTTTTGGTGTGACGTGGCACAACAAACTTATGAAATTGGATTGGCGCAAAAGGTGTGCTCTTCAGCGAGGCGGCGTGCAAGGGCACGCAGTTCATTGAGCTGTGCAACCAGCGGGACATCCCCATTCTCTTCTTCCAAAACATCACCGGCTTCATGGTCGGCAAGAAATACGAGGTTCGTCTTCTTCTCATTTTTCTAATTATTACGTTCTGCTAACATTTCATTATTATACGTTGTTGTTGTTATTCTTATTATTATTATACATTGCGTGCAGGAGGGAGGCATGATCAAACACGGCTCGAAGTTTATCAATGCCGTCTCCAACAGCGGAGTGCCGCACATCACCATCCTCATGGGCGCATCCTACGGCGCCGGTACGCGCCCGCCGTCTCGCCCGCCTCAAGCGGGGCTCGCCAATACTCACCCACGCGCACACGCACACGCACACACACACGCACACGCAGGCAACTACGGAATGTGTGGCCGAGCGTACAAACCGCGATTCCTCTTCTCGTGGCCCAACTCCAAGTGTTCGGTCATGGGCCCCGACCAGCTCACAGGGGTGCGTTGGCCCGTTTTCGTTATTTTTCTCTTTCTCTGTCTTGTGTCTCGCTCACTCGCACGGCCAACAACAAACAACGAACAACAAACAACGAACAACGCGACGGATACGGTAGGTGATGGATATCGTGTTCCGAGAGGCTGCCAAGAAGGCCGGCAAGACGATCGACGAGCAACAGGCCACGATGCGGAAGGAGATGTTCAGGCAGATCGTCGAGGACCAGTCGAGCGCCTACTACACGTCTTCCCGAATCATCGACGATGGCATCATCGGTTCGCCGCCTCTCGCCTGTGTCATCGCTTCTTCAATTGTTTTGGTCGTGTTTCTGTTTCCACTCTCACCACACACACACGCATACACACACACACACACACCACACACACACACACGCTGATGTACACCTATGCAGACCCGCGGGACACGCGCAATGTGCTGGGTCTGTGTCTCTCGGTGGTCTACTCCGGCGAGGTCAAGGGCGACAACACCTGTGGCGTCTCACGCCTGTAGCAACACCCTTTTGCCATTCTTCTTCTTCTTCTCCGCGGCGAACACATGTCTTCTTCTCACCACACCTGCCCCGCGGACACCAGCCAACTGTTAAGTTCGCTCTGGCTGGCCAGAGGGAGCGGCACCGAAGAAGAAGGGGGAGGTGGTGGCAGCAGGAGGAGGCTGATTGCTTGCGGGAGCGGCACCGAAGACGGAGGTCGTGGTGGTGGCCCGCAGAAAACGGAAAGGGAGTGGCAGCAGAAGGCTGACCGAAGGCGGCCGAGCCGAACATACCGAGGCGGATGGCGGCCGAGCCGCCAGAGGGAGGTACCGCCGAAGAAGGAAGAAGGCTGCGCGCCAGAGGCCGACGAGTCGCCTATCATGGACTGCTCCTTTTGACGAGAAGGCCCGAGGACTTGGCAGCGGGCGAAGAGTCTGTCAGGCGGCCACGACGGCAGTGAAGGCAGCTCGCGCTGCGCCGCTGCCTCGCGCATCTCGTCGAAGTGGCGCTTCACTGCCGCCCGAGCCTCGGCCGCACTCTTCAGCTCGTCGGCCTCGCGCACCGTCGCGCGCCACGGCGGCGTCCACCTCTCCGATGGACACGCGCCAGCCCGGTGCGCACCGCCTCCCGCGGCCGCGCCTCGACCTCCTCGATCGTGACGGCGTCGTGCCCCTTGTGCGGACCCACCACCAGGCACACCACGCACACGGCCGCCCCATCGCGCTCGCACCACATCTCCACCTTCTTGCCGGGGTGGTGCTGGCACGCCGCCCTCCGCTCGGGCGCGCCGGCCGATGCCACAAGCACGTACCGGTAGCACCCTTTGCAATTGTTCTTTCGAAAGAAAACACATGCCTTCCCCCACCTGCCCCGCCGATGGTTGCAGGTTTGTTCGAGCCTGACGCCCAAATGATGGCAACAAAATGGCTACAAACCACGATGCACGTCTCTCATTGCCCAGCCGATCTCGGGGTACTTACTCCGTGATCTCGGGGTAGTTGTTCAGATACCACTTGGTGGGCTGGATGTTGAGGCTCTGCTCTCGGAGGATCGTGTCGGTGCCCTGGAGTTCCATGACGAACTCGACCGCACGCGACACGCCGGCCTCCACGCTCGCCAGGGTCGGTTCGTCCACCGCGAATGCGTGCTTCGCCTGCGCCAGGCGCTCAGCGACCGCGCCGCGGGCCAGGTAGACAACCGGGATGCCGGCGCGCAGGATCCTGGTCGTGGCGTAGGAGTAGGTCTCGGGGGAGATGGACAAGAAGGTGACGATGTGGATCTTCTGCTGCTGCAGGGTCCGCTCGATCTCATTGTCGTCGTACAGGCCGTTGAACTCGACGGTGGTGCAGCCCTCCCGCAGCCTCGGTTCCAACTCGCCAAACTGGTGGAAGCGGAACTGTAGGTTGTGCTTGGCCGGCAGCACGTCGCTCTTGGACAGCGCCAGGAAGAGCTCGGCGCCCTTGAACTCGACGAAGCGGCCGACGTAGGCGACGTTGATCGTGTTGTCGGCCACTGGGGCCACGTAGAACCGGTCGTCGTGGATGATGAGGTCGTTGTGCGGCACCATCACCATCCTCGCCTCGTTCCAGTTCTTGGAGCCGACCTGGGTCCGGTAGTACTCGTAGATCGAGCGGTTGGGGAAGATGACCCGGTTCGCCATCTGGAACAGCTTCGTCGCATTCCGCACGTACCCGACGCCGGGCTCGGTCGTCTGCAGCACCTCGAGCGATGGATTGGGTTGCGTGGGGAAGAGCCACTGGTAGTCGTGTACCGTCACGTAGACTGGAACCTTGCGCAGGCGATAGGAGCGCGCGATGTCGATCACGCGCCATACGGGTCCCTCCAGCACCATGGCGCTGTGGATGTGGAGCAGCGCGCAGTCCATCGACGGCGGCGGCGGGTTGCCGTCCTGGATCCAGGTGTGGTTGTAGTCGGCGAAGAGGCCCATGAGGTGCTTCATGTAGGCCTCGGTGCCGCCGCCGGGGTGGGACAGGTGCACGACGGTCTTGCCCGTGTGGGGCTTGAATGCGCGCTTGACGGTCGTGATCATGTCGTAGCCGGTTACGTCGTTGGGCTCCAGGATCGACTGCTCGTTCCACTCGTTCCACGCCGCGAAGAACACGTAGTTCTCCGGGCCGGCAATGGTGCTGGTGTCCTGGACCGCCAGGTCGTACACGCGTTGCACATGACGCCCGAATTCGTCCACGGTCGCGTTGCGATAGATCCGCGGGTAGCCCTCATAATTCCCATTGGTCCAGCCGCGCCGCGGGGCGTTGTTCCAGCCCAATAGGGTGCCGCGGTAGAACTCCTTCGCTTGGCCGTGGCGGCGGTGCTCCGACGTGGTCCAGATCTCGGGGGCGTGGAACAGCCAGAAGCCGGCCCACTGGCCCGCGTCGGCCGGTTGGCGCCCGACTGTCCACCACGGGCTCGAATACCCGGGCTCGAACTGGACGAAGCCTTGGAGGCCCTGGTCGTCGGCCGGCGCCCAGTCGTTGGTGGGTGGTGGGCCGAAGCGCATGAAGTGAATGCCCGGCAGGCCCTCCTTCCGGGCCAGCTCCTGCCACAGGGCCATGATGCTCGCGACGATCTCCGCATGCTCCTGATCGATTCTGTACCAGATGAACACGGGCCGCTTGTTGATGCGGATGTTGCGCTTGTTGCGGAAGAAGGGCAGCAGGAAGTAGAAGTGCTTGACGTTGCCCTCGTGGTCGGAGTAGTCCTGCGCGAGGATGACGTCTTTGGGCTGGCCGTCCCACGCACGGGTCCAGTTCTCGTTGGCCCAGCACAGCACGAAGGGCTTACTCGGCTCCCCATCCTTGAGCATCAGCTCGAGCGGGCGATGCATCACTGCGACGGGCGAGTGTTAATTCACAAAGAAGATAAACAGTATACAATATAGAGCGGAAAATGATGAACATTAAACACATCAAACCTTACGTACCTGGGTGGTCCTTGAACCAGAAGTGGTAGAAACAGAACCCGTGGATGCCGAAGCGGTCGGCCAGCACGCGCATGAACCGGCGGTGCCCATAATCGAGAATGTTGTAGTAGCCCAGGTCGGGGTGGGGCTTGTAGATGACCTCATCGATGACGTGGCGCGGCATGGGCTTGAGGTAGGTCCACTCGGTGAAGTTGACGCCCCAGAGCTCATCGTTCTCGGGGATGGCGTGGAACTGGGGGAAGACGATGGCTATGGCCAGCGGCTTCAACTTGGGCACGGCGGTCCATAGCGGGGAGGGGCTGGCTGGCGTTGAGGGCGTAGGAGAGGCGGAGGGAGAGTGAGGCGGAGAGCGAGTGGGAGATGAAGATGGAGATGAAGATGGAGATGGGGAGGTCGAGGGCCAAACGAAGATGCGCGGAGCGGCTCGCCGTATGGATATGGGAACTCTCGCCGCAGACAGCTGGAGTTGGTGGAGCGAGACGAAGGCCGCCAAGACGGAGAGGACCACCACCAGGGCAAGAGCGCCGCCTCATCTTCCTGTCCTCGCAGGCTCAGTGCACAGACGTGGCCCTTCCCATTTTAGGAAAAGTAATGTCATGTTCTTGCGTTTGCTCACCATCTTTTTGCTTTCAATTTTGAAGATGGAAGAGAAGCACGAAGAGATTTGGTGCAAATCAGACAGTCAGGCCAACATTGGTGCCGTTGCTGGTTGGTCTTACGAATAATATCGGGCTGTTTGGTTTGTCAGCACTGAGAAAAACCCACCACGTTGGCTATGCCGCATAGGCCGCTTTCATTCAGCCGCCCCTCGCCCCCCGGCTTCCTCTACACGCTCCAGGCCGACGGCGCCTTCTCTGGCGCCCCATTGCGGCACCCGGGCGTCGCTGCAGATGAATTCGGGGTGCCCAATGACTATGGCGAGCCGCTGGAGTTCGGTCTGGCGCAGGACGTGAACATCAACAGTCGGTGGACCCTGCGGGCGCTGCTGGTCGCGGCCGAGCTGCTGCCAGGCGAGCAGGACGTGTTAGCCCACGCTGCACGTGTTCCTCGCGCCGCGTGGCCGGCACCGTGGCCTCGGACCTGTTTGAAATCGCATAGAGCCAGGTTACCTCTCTGCCCTTCAGGTCGAGCTCATCACACGTGGTCCACTGGGACTCCCAGCTCGGCCGCTTCATTCGCCTCTAGTAGGGCGAGTGCGGCCTCGCTTGCTGCGAGTCACCTTTCATGCTGGGTTTTTTCCTGCCAAAGCGCACGCAATCAAACCGGTTCAAAACCAGGCGTTGTTGTACTTATCACAGTGGCGGACGAGGAGACATACGTTTGTTCGCCACCACTCTGGAGGAGAGATGGGTGGGAGCTACGTGAAGGTGCTGGTGGGGTCGGTGGTCTATCCCACTCTCGCCGCGCTGCTGGCTGTCGCGGCCTGGGCGGCCTGCGTGCACTTCTTCGTCGGCGCCAGGGAGCCTGCGCCACTGCGCCACTGGAACGCCAACAAGCACGTTCACACCGACGGACTCACCTTCGTACCTCTGCTCCCCCCCCCAACGGCTTCCTCTTTATGTATTGATTTGTCATTCATTATTATTTATTTGTTATTAATTATTAATTACTCATTACTCATTATTTTTTATGTCCGGCCTGGGTCATGGGCAGACGTCGGTGGAGACAAACGGGGTGCGGCTGAACGTGATTGAGGCGGGCGATCGCGCTTCTTCGTCGAAGAAGCTCGCCGTCCTGCTCCACGGCTTCCCCGAGACGGCGCTCCTCTCCTGGCACGCGCACATTCCAGCGCTCGTGGCTGCGGGCTACTTCGTGGTGGCGCCCGACCAGCGCGGCTACAACCGAAGCGAGAAGCCCGAGAGCGTGGAGGCCTACTTCATCGACCACCTCGCCGACGACGTCCGCGGCCTCATCCGCCACTACGGCCACGACAAGGCCACCGTACCTGCGCCGTGTCTTTAGCTCCGACCAGCACTTGGCTCTACTGACTTACTGCGCACATCAGGTGATTGGTCATGACTGGGGCGCGGCTGTGTCTTGGTGGTGCGACACAGCCCGGATGTTTGTTGTTGTTGTTGTTGTTCGAGGATTGTGATCATGATGCTATATTTGCTGTGTCGTGGCCAGGATCGCACTGCGTTGGCCCGAGGTGGTGGAAAAGCTGGTGATCATGAACGCGCCTCATCCGTTAGCGTTCAGAGATCACCTCACGTCGAGTCTGTCGCAACTGGGCAAGAGCTGGTACATCTTCTACTTCCAGCTGCCCTACGTCCCCGAGGAGAAGATTCGATCGTACGTTCCCCTCCAATTCCCCTTCTTTGCGCCATGCCACTCCAATAACCACACACGAACTGCACGCAACACGACACGACCAACGACACACAGGAACAACTTCTCTTTTTTGCAGGGCGCGCCAGAGGGTTCGGGCATCATTGGCAAGACGTTCCCGCTCGATAGCCTCCGCAGGTAACGACCATCAGACCCTGGAGGAGTAACGGCGTCGCCCACACACACACACACGACACACACACTACAGAGGACTGCAAGCGTGGAGCGAGCCGGGAGCGCTGACGGGCATGCTCAACTGGTACCGCGCTGCCTTCCGCAATGCCAGGCGCCTGAACGAAGTCGACCCCGCCATTCGTGTCCCGTTGCATATGATCTGGGGCGAGAACGGTACCTGTGTGCGGTCGTGCGTGTTCTTGTGCGTGATCGAATGTGATCGCAAGTCACTCCTAACGCACGACGTACACGCCACACGCTAGACGTGGCACTCGATCTCGTGTTGGTGGAGAAGTCGCTGGCCTACTGCCGCCAGCGGGACCCGGCTGTCTGTGGCGCGACCTATCTGCCCGAGGCCACCCACTGGGTGCAGCACGACGAGCCCGAACGCGTGAGCCGCGCCCTCCTGGCCTTCCTTGCCCCTTGATTATCATTTTTGATTTCATGTTATTTTATTTTATTATGGTTACATCAAGCGTGACAGACCTGGTCCAGGTAGTGGAGAAGTGGGAGGAGGGCCGAGGGCTCTGTCGTCTTGAGCTCGCGCCGCTTCGCCTCATCGTCGCCGACCACTGCGGCCAGCCGCTGCCGGGTCGCGTCGACCACCTTGCCGAACCCGTCCATGAACGTACCCGCCGAGAGCGTGGACCGGAGGCCCACCACGTCGTCGCACCACCGGCGGACCTCCGGGTGGTCCACCCGCACCTCGTCGCGCAGGAACAGGGCCGACGCCACGGCCCAGCCGACCCACTTGACCTCGTAGTTGCCCTCGTAGGGGTCCATGCCCTCGTGCGGGAACGCCACGCTGGCGGCCTCCAACCCGCGCCAGGCCGGCATTCGCACGTGCTCCTGCACATTGTCCGGCTTTAGCCAAAGCGCACGCATGACCGCGCACGCACCTCACACGTCATGATTGCGATGCGCTACGCTGCGTACCTTGTGTGAGTCGTCGCTGATGGGTCGTCCCTGCCACAGCCACTCAAAGGTTGCGATTTGTGAGGGGTCGTGCTGCCACTCGAGCACGCTGGCGTCCAGATTCCACATCTGCGACCGCACACGACACGACACGCACCACCGCACACGCACACACGTGAGAACCCGAGTCGGGCGATCGCAGTTGATCGTCAGATGCGCACCTTGGCCAGCGTAAGAATGAAGGACTCGTGGGTGAAGTACTGGTCGCCAGACCGTGGGCGCACGGGCGGCTGCCGCCGTTCGATCAGCGGCGACACGAACACGGCCGGCACGCGCGGGCCCAACACCGAAAAGTCGAAGGCGGCCGGTGGTCCGGCCTGCGTCGCTGGTCGCAGGTAGGGTGGGGGGACGTGATCGTAGTAGCCGCCGTGCTCGTCATAGAGTACCAGCAGCAGCGACGACTCCCAGTGCGGCGAACTGCGCATCGCTTCGTAGACCCGCGCCAGCAGAACCTCACCTCGTCGCACGTCGTGCGGCGGGTGCTAGGGTTGTGTGCGTGTGTGTGCGATCAATAATGTGAGCTGCGTGTGCGGTCGTGCGTGTGCGGTACCTGGTCGTTGGAGTAGAGGCCGTTGATGGGATCGTCGAAGATGCGCGGTTCGATGAACGAATAGGCCGGGAAGTCGTCGCCGGCCACGTCGGCCTCGAACCGCTCGAAGCCCGCGAAGCGCCGAGCAAAGTCGGGCCTCGCGAGCGCGCGCGAGAAGGTCATGACGGTGGAGATGTCGTGGTAGTACACCTTCCAGTCGCGCCCCGCGGCGTCGAGCATGTCGAAGAGGGTCGGCTGGTGCTGCGGCCGGCCGCTGTTGGCCGTGAGCCCGGCCGACGTCGCCGAGTGGAGGAACTGGCGGTTGGGCGCCGTCGGGCCGGGCATCGAACAGAACCACGCATCACTGAACGCGTACTCCCGGGCCAGCGTGCTGCAGGCGTCGATCGTTAGTGCCTGTGCGGTGGCGTGTGCATGTGCGTGTGCGTGCACGCGTGTACGCGTGTGCGTGTGCGTGTGCGTGTGCGTGTGCGTGTGCCGTGTGCGTGTGCGTGTGCGTGTGCGTGTGCGTGTGCGTGTGCCGTGGTGCGTGTGCGTGTGCGTGTGCGTGTGCGGTGGGTACCTCAGGACGGGGAGATCACGAGGCGTGTAGGCGTGCATGACCTTGTGGTGCTCGTCGGCGTCCAGCTTGTGGGGGTACCGCCACTCCCCACACCGGCGCGCGTACCACGACAGGAAGCCGCTCATGTCCGGCTGCACGCCCACAGTTTGATTTAATTATGTAATTTATATTGATAAATTGTAAATAAATAATAAATAATAAGTAACACGATTGTGTACCTTGGGTGGCGTGGATGAAGCGTCTTGAGGGAAGGAGGGAACGCGGCCCTCGCCAAACATCTGCTCCATGATCTCCTTGTGCGAGTGGGGCGGGTCGACGGGCGTGTAGAACTGGGCCTTGGGCTCGGGCCACACTGCCTCGTCCCCGCCTGAAGTCGTGTTGAAGTAGGCCCTGTTCATCTTCACTTCCTCCTTCGCCTCGCTACCGCTGCTACTCCTTCCATCTTCCGCGGCCTTGCTCTCTCGCTCTTGTGCAACAAGATCAGCTGTTTGCGTAGTGGTCGCTTGAGATGAAGAGGGCGTGGGATGGAGTCCGTCGAACGGATGATGCGAATCGAGGTAGCCCAGGGCGTTGTCGAACGAACGATTCTCGAGCATGAGCACCACCACATGCTTCACCGCCGCATCTCCCTTCTTCGCCTCCCCTCCACCGGTGGTGCCTTCATCGAATGGCGTGCCCAAGGCATTCGATGAGGTGGCGCTCATCTTGCAGGTCTTGCCTCCAAGCTTGTCGTCTTCTTCTGGTAGCTTCGCCCTCTAATTCCCCGACAGCCCCTCATTGAGGAGTTCACGTCACACTCCGTGGAAGTGACCTTCACCTTCTTCTGCCGCTACGTTCATCGTTTCCTTGGTTTGTAACCTGTACATGTTTGAGGTCTATCGGCGGTACAAGCAAACACTCGTCTCTCTATCACCCTCCTCCACGGTGCTTGCAAACTCTTCTACTTCTTCTCCGTCTTCATCATCTTCATCCTCATCTTCAAGTAGAACTATGCTACTCAGCAATGTCTTCGGCGGCCTTGGCGGCGATGGCCGACACCGGTGTCTCTGGGGAGGAGCCGCCGCTGTCGAGTCGCCGTCGGAAGAAGCCCGTGAAGGTCTCCTTCCTCCGCTTCTGCTGCTTGGCTTCGGCCGGTTGCGGCTGCTCGATCATCGACCCTCCTCCTGCATCCGCTTCATCATCGCTCCCCGATGGCGGCGTTCCGTTGTTGCCGATCCACGGGATGAAGCTCTTCTTCCGCTCGCGCTCCTTGGCCGTGTCGCTCGTGTTCCACTTGCGCATGAAGTTGTTGAGGCCGCCACCTCCACCTCCACCACCTCCTCCACTCCCTCCACTTCCACCGCCGCCGCTGGGCCGCTCGGGCGCCGTCTTGTGTCGCCGCCTCCCGGCACTGCCGTCCTCCCCAGAGCGCGGCGGCGACGGTGGGTCGTTCCCCTCCTTTTCCATCATCGCCTCGGCTCCACTTCCACCGCCGCCGCCGAGCCACCACTTCTTTCGTATCGACGAGGGAGATGAAGGCGATGACGACGTCGAGGCGGAGTCGTCGTCAATTGAGCGCTCGTCGTCGCCGAACGAGGCGGCGGTCGGATCGGTCGACGACGACGATGAAGATGACGGGCCGACCTGATTCATCATGCTCTCCGAGGAGATGTGGGTGCCAAGCAGCTTCTGCAGCTTGAGCCGCTTGTGGACGAGCTTCTGCTTGTGCGAGGCCCCGGGCACGGTGGCCGTGTACTGGTGGTGCTTGCTGCGCTGCTGCCGCTGGTCGCCGGCGCTGCCCTTGTCGTCGCGCCGCGGTGATCGTCGGGCGCCGTCGGCGTCGCGCTTGGTGGTGCGGTCGGTCGACGACTGCCGCCGCTTGCTGTCCGCGGGACCCGACGGCGACGAACCGGCCGGGGCGACCGTGGTCGAGCGGGCGCGCTCACGAATGTCCTTGACGGCCAGCACGTTCTTGTCGCCGCGGGCAGAGGGCGGGGCCGAGGTAGACGCGCTGCCGCCACAGAGCTGCGCGCTGAGGTTCTCCGGGCTGAGCGCCACGCCCAGTATCTTCTCCAGCTTGTCCTTCTTCAGTTTGGCTGCACGACACGACACGACACGACACGACACGACACGACACGACACGACACGACACGACACGACACGAGTTCGGTTAAGATGTGGTACGAGGAGAGGCGGTGAAAAGGCAGCCGTACCTCGTCGTCGCTGTTCGGGCGAGAAGTCGAGGTCCTCGTTGCCGACCACTTCAATACGCTCCTCCATGATCTCCTCGATCGTGGGCAACAGCACGGGCTCGCTTTTGTCCGGGTTGGTCACGATGATGCTCTTCGGCACCGCCGATTCCTTTTCCTTCTGCGCCTCTCGCTCTTGCTGTAGCGTGGACGCGTGTTGTGTGTGTGTGTGTGTGTGTGTGTCGTGAGTGTTGTGGTCGCTGTGTGTTGGGCTGAAGCGCCGCGAGCGTTGCATACCTTGAAGGTCTTGATGAAGGAGCCCTTGCCGAACGAGAGCCGACGGAGGTGCCCCTTCAGGGCGCTCGTCGACGACTTGTTGATTTCTGTCGACGGAGGCCCCAGAAGCGTGAGCACGCTCAACAGCCGCTCGAGGGTCGGCATTCCAGCCTCCTGTCGACACAACGAGGTCAGCCGTGCGCTCGTGCGCGTGTGCGTGCGTGTGCGGTGGTGCGTGTGCGGTGAGCGTTTCGAGATGGGACGCGTACGGTCTCCTCGAATTCCAACTTGTCGGCGATGCCGTCGAGGTGCTTGCTCAGCTCGGCGTGCATGACGTTGAGTGAGTCCTGCGGCAGATCGGTGTCCACGTCCTGCTTGTCGCGCACCCGCTCCTCGGCCTTGAGCGCCTTGTTGACCTCCGTTTCGTCCTATAACACAAAACAACAACAACGTTCGATATATCATTAAATACATCAATACATCAATACATCAATGTATAGGTACGGTGAGCTTGTCGAAGAACATGTGAACGACGGCAAGGTTCTCGATGATGAACGGGTTGAGGATGGCCATGTGGGCCTCCTTGCACCCGAACTCGATCCCGTTGGCCAGATTTTGGAGGACCTTGGAGATCATCACCAACCCACGCCGCACGCCCGGCGATACTTGGCCTGCAAGAATGGAGACGCGCACAAACTTCGTGTGAGACACAACACGACACACGACATGACACGACACACGACACACGACACGCACCCTTGATAAGGGCTCGCTCTGTGGGCGAAACGATGGCAGGACAGAGGAGGCGAAGGAAGAAGAGGCCACCGAGCACGGTGTAGTGGGTGCCCGGGTACTTGGAGGACACCTCCCGCTGAAGATGCCGACAAATGTCGCGCAACGACCTGCGCAGAGCAAGAGTGGTGGAACGTGAAACAACCAACGATCACGACCACGCACGACCACGCACACACACACACGACACGACACACACGACACACACGACACACACGACACGACGCACGCCAAGTCAAGGGGACGGGTGGAGGTACGCTGGACATTCGTCGACAGTGCGGAGGATCTTCTCAAGGAAGCTGCGCGTGGTGGTAACGAGCTGATCGGCGTTTTCGGACAGCACCTCGCCCTCCTTGAGCCGCGCCGGGTCGACCTCGAACGACTTGCCCTCGTCGTAGAGCTGGCACACGTTGTGGATGAGCGACGTCAGGGTCTTGGTGAGGTACTTCTTGGCCACCGTCTTGGCGTAGCTGGAGAGCAGTGACGTGTGGATCTCGCTCCCCCGGAACAGCGTCCCCACGGCCGTGCTCTCTGCGCAAAGTAACAGATCTGTTATTTAGGCGAGCCCATACATGTTTCACATTCCACGCCGCCGCCCCACCAAATGCCGAGCCAGAAAGGAATGTGAAGAAGGCGACGTACTGGACAGGTCGAGCGTGATGGCGGACTTGATCAAAACTGTGGGCGCGCCACCCACCTCGTGAATTCGGATGATGGCCTCCGGAATGGACTGGTTGAAGGCCAGATCCACGACCGACAGCAGCGTGAACACCACGCGGCAGTCGCTCTCGAGCAGGATCTCCATCAGCGACACCATGCCCGGGTTCTGGACACGGCCGACACACAAGCGAAAACCAAGTGAGACTGGCCGAGTCCTTTTCTGTGTGCGGTTGCCCCTTCGCGTACCATGATCATATTTGTCGACGGGCTGGGCAACGTGGGCAGGATCGGGTCGATGTAGTCGATGTTGACCAGGCCCCGTCTCCGGTTGTGGAATCCCTCCCTGTGCCACAGACACATACCACCGCCGCGGCCACGTCAGCAATGCGAGACATGCAGTGATGATGATGGTGGTGGTGATGGTGAGCGGAGTCGTACCAGAGCTTGGAGCCGGGCACCTTCTTGACGACGGTCACCAGCTCGCCCTCCATCACCGACAGAATCGGGAACTCGGCGGCGGGCCTCGGCGTCGGCCGGCCGCACTCGCGCTTGTGGCCGCCATCGCTCTCGTCCACGTCTTCGCTGATCTTGACCCCGCGCCGTGCCGGTTTGCTCGGGCTTACGGCCAACAGCGACGACGACGAGCCCGAGCCCGACGCCGATGCCCCCGAGGCCGAGGGGTTACCAGAACCGTCATCGGCGCCGCTGCCGCCGATGAGACTGGGCGAGTACTCGTTGGCAGTCTCCTCGCGAGTGATGAACTGGTGCGGGTACATGACCCGGGCAACGAACGGGAAGTAGGTGTCGCGGTCGGGCTCCATCAGCTCCTTGGTCTTCTCGCGCACCTTGTCGAACACCGCCTTGATGTTGAGGACCGACGTAATCGCCAACCTATCATCACCACGGTCATCCACACGCATTAGTTCACTGTCAAGCGGCATGTGGGTGTGCGGTGGTGCGTGCGCGTGTGCGATGGTGATGATGTGTGCGTGCGCAGTGGAAGGCGAACCGGTGGTTGAGTGCGTTGACGACCGAGGGCGGAATCTTGCCGCGGAAGTCGATCGACACGACCCGCGTGATGAGCGACGAGTTGTTGCCGGTCTCCTTGAAGATCCAGCCCTCGATCACCTCCTCGCCGCGCACAAACTCCTTCTGGGGCGGGTGCGCGGCCGACGGCACCGACTTGGAGATGACCACGAACGTGTCCCGCGGCGCGCCGCCGCGCTCGCCCTCCTTCCCGCGCAGCACCGCAAACGCGCGGGCCACCACAAAGTCGCGTTTGCGCACCGTCTTGCACAGGCTGCGCATGGAAAAGTAGAGGAGCTGGATGTTGGAGGCCAGGTTCTCGGTCACCTTACCCGACAGGTAGAGCTCGTCCCACTCCTGCCGCGTCTCGCTGCAGGCCATCACCAGGCGGAACACCTGCGCCGCCGGCGCGCCCACCACGCCGACGGCCTTGGCGCACCCGATGTCCTTGCCGGGGTAGAACTTGCGGAGGCACCTGCACTTCGCACATCAGAGGGGCGCGTGCGGCGGCGCGTGTGCGGTGGCGCGGTGGCGCGGTGGCGCGGTGGTGCGTGTGCGTACCTGACGCCTTTGGTGGCCTCCAGGAAATGCCAGCCGTGGTCGTCGGGAGCGTCGGCCGAAACTGGTGCTTCCGACTTGGAATACTCGCGTCGGAACTCCTCAAACACCACCTGTCGAGACCACCGTCAGTTCAGTCACCGCACACGCACGACACGACACGCACACGCACGACACAAGCGAGCTCGGGTGGTACGTGCCTCGGGGAGCGGCTGTGGGTGGTCCATGGCCTCGAGCGAGGCCGAGAAAAAAAGCTGAAGAAAGGAAGGGAACGCCTCCCGGCGCAGCTGGAGGAACACCTGCCGCTGGGCCTCGCGGAACAGCAGGTCGGGGAGGTGCGGGTGCAGGAGCGCCGGGTGCGGATGGGCCTGGAGGTTGTCGGCCGAGAACGGAGAGGCCGACGCCGACGCCGACGAGGACGATGAGGTGGGCGACGGAAGCGGCGACGGCAGGGGAGAGAACGAGAAGGAGGAGAGCGGCGACTGCGCGGTGAGCGACAGCGACGACGACGACAACGTGGTGACAGTTGATGTTGAAAAGGAGGAGGAGGAGGAGAGGGAAGAGGGGGAGGAAGAAGAGGAGAGGGCGTCCATCTCGAGCGCGATGTCCTTGACGGTGCTGCTCTTGAGGTCGATCCGCAGAGGCGCGTCCTCCGCCACGTGCTGCTGGAATATTCGAAGCCGCAACTCGTGTGAACCTTTGGAGGGCCAAAGATGAGTTTAAAGTGGTGCGTGTGCGTGCGGTGGTACGTGTGTGTGCGATGTGTGCGTGTGCGTGTGCGTGTGTGGTGTGTGTGGGGAGAAGGGAGGCAGTGGAGGTACTCAAAATCGGTTGCTGTGGTGGCGTGGTGATGTAGCTGCCGTGGGATGGCGTGATGGGCCAGCCCAGGGACGAGATCTTATGTACAGGCGCCGACGGGTGCGTCCTTCTGTGCGCCACTCCGAGTACCGGCCCGCCGCGGTTCGCGTCACCTGCTTCACTGGTGGCAGCGGCGGCGCTGCTGTTGCCTCCGGTCGTCGCCCGACGAGACGGAGCAGGTGACGACGAGCCGCTGGCGGCTGCGGCCGTGGCCGTCGTGGTGGTAGTGGTGGAGGACGTGGAGAGCCGGCCCTCTTTCTCAGCCTTGTCTCGCTCGAAACGACACGCCTGGCGGTAGAGCTCCACCTGCATCCAGAACAGGCATGCGATCTCGGCCTCTTCGAACTCGATCAACTCTTTATCTTCCGTATCGCTGTGTTGCATTCGACACCACCGCACACACACACGCACACACGACACACAACCGAATTAAATGCGTGGAGCTGGCTAAGATTGAGAGGGTGGCAGCGGCAGTAAGTACCTGGGCGATTGCGCTGCGCTGGCCCGCCGAGTGAGCTGCTCCATCCACCCGCCCAGCGACTTGCGATGCAGCCGTTCCACTGTGACATTCACCGGAGGTGTGGTCAGTCTGCTGCCCGTGTGCAATCAGGTGCAATGCCCATGCGTGCGGCGGTGCGGCGGTGCGTACTGGGAAGCGGAGGCAAGAGCGAAGCGTCTTCCTCGTGCACGCAGCTGAGGGCCTTCTGAAGTGACGACGCCGAGGCGTCCTCCTGGCTCTTGAGTACCAGCGGGTTGAGCTGCCGCCGCTCCAGCGGCGCCGCGTCGCCCTCGCCTCCGCCTCCATTGTTACTGTTGTTGGCCGCGGCGCCGGTGCTGTTGTTATTGTTGTTGACGCAGATACCGCTTCCGGCGGTCTTCTCGCCCGACATCTCGTCGCGCAGGTTGCTCCCCACGCCGCTGCCGCCGCCGGCCTTGGCCAGCATCATCCTCTTGAGCGTTCCCCCTCGCGTCAAGTCCTTTGGCGACAGCACCGCCGCCATCGCCAGCTGCTGCTGCTGCTGCTGCTGTTGCTGTTGCTGTTGCTGTTCATCATCCTCCTTTGTCGGTTGTTGCTGCTGCTGTTGCAGTTCGTTGCGTCGCTTTTCCTTCTCACGTTCGCGTTCCTTCTCTTCGAGGATGCGGCCCTCGAGCCGCAGCAGGATGAGCTCCCCCTCGGCCACCCCGCTGCCCGCCGGCGCCTTCCGCAGCTTTCTGCTGAGCCGCTTGCTGCTGCTGCTGCTGCTCGTGTCTTTGGCATTACCGTCGCTGTCCGCCGCTCCGCCGCCGCTGCCAATCGAGAACACGCTCGCGGCGCTCTTTCCGCTCACGGGGCCGCTGCCGCTGAGGGGGCCTCCTGGCCGGCTCGCGCTGGCCGGCCCGCTGGCCAGCACTCCACTGCCGGTCGTTCGGCCGCCGCTGCCGCCTCTCTCCCTGTTGAGCGGGTGCTCGAGGTCTTCGACAGACGCCGACTTGCCGCCGCTGCCGCTGCCGCCGCCGCCGCCGCTGACGGTGAGGTGAGAGAGCGAGCCGAGGTGGAGCGTCTTGCGTCGCTCCCTTCGTTTGGAACGCGGACTGGGGTCTGGTGGCTCGGTCGGGGCGTTCGTCGTCTTTTCCATAGAGTGCTCTTGTCTTCTTCCTTTTTCTATCTATTCTTCTATTCTCTTCTTGGTGATGTAGTTGATGACGACGTGTCCCTTACGTCTGTGCTTTTTTTACTGGCGCGTCATGGATGATTACGATGATCGATTCGGGAGGGCGGGGGAGATTGATGGTGAAGAGAAGTAGGCAGAAGACGATGAGGAAGAAGAAGACGGTGTGAGCGATGAGGGAGGAACAAGAGCGCTGGCGAGGGAGAGGGGCGACGGCGATGGCGATGGCGCTCGGGTGGTGAGATCTCAGGGGAGCAACTTTCGAGAGAGGGTCCGGTCGGTCTTCTGGGCGGTTAAAAGGAGGAGTCAAAAAGCGCAACGGTCTTACCCTTACGAAGATACACTTACCTTTTCTCGGCCCGCTAGGAAGCACCTAAATAACGGAAGCAGCCAAGGCAAGGTCAGACGAGTGCGTGTGCGCGCGTGTGCGCGTGTGTGTCGTGTGTGTAGTGTGCGGTGGTGCGGTCGTGTGCGGTGACGAGTGGATAGTGGGAGGAAATTGGGGTGAGTTATTCATGCGAGCGACTCTACAGCCTGTTCTTGAACTTGGGCGGTCTCTTCTCCATGAAGGACATCATCGCCTCCGTCAGGTCGTCACTGGAGGAAACGTGAAACGTTTGAGTTTGGTGAACGCGAGAAGAGAGATTGGCTGATGAAAGTGGCGAGCCTTGGCCACTGACGGTTGGGGGGGAGGCAGGCGCACCTCTGCATGAAGTTGCCGTTCCAGAGACCGACGTACTCGAGGCCTTCGGCGACGGTGTGTTCGTCCGAGTAGTTGAGCACTATCTTCGCGCCCTGTACGACCATTGCCGAATGGGAGGCGATCCGCTTGGCCATGGCCCTTGCCTTGGCCAACAATTCGTCTTTGTCCTTGTACACCTACGACACACGACAACGCAACACACAACACGACACACACAACACACAGCATGCAGCGTGTCGATAAGTTGGATTGGTTTCGTGAGCGACGAGCGAGCAATCGAGGCTACCTCGTTCACCAGGCCAAAGTGGTGAGCCCGCTGGGCGTTGATGTCATCCGATGTGAAGACCTGGCGAATGGAGAGTACGTGTCAATTCCAGGTGCGGTGCAGCGAGGCTGAACGTGGGCTCCCCCTTCCCCCTGGAGAAATCGACGACGCACCATCTCCCTGGCCAGCCCCTTGCCAACAATCTTGGTGATGCGCTGCAGGGTGCCGATGTCGGCAACCATCGCCATCTTCGTCTCAGCAACGCAGAAGGTCGCGTCCTCAGTGCACAGCCTGACGTCGCACGCTACAGCATCGCGTCGAGTAAGCGACCAACGACGTGCTCCCACACGCCGCGGCATTGAGTAGTACCAGTGACAAGGTCCACACCGCCACCGATGCAGCGCCCGTGCGTGGCCGCGATGACCGGCTTGGTGCACTCCTGGATCTGCGACAGGTCGGACTGCCATGTTTCACGATCTTCCTGAAGAAGATCCCGCCCTCCGACCTGCTCATGCTCGGGTCTGTGCCACAGGCAGATTAAAATCCAAAAAAAAAAACAATATAAAATGTTTGGGAAAGGCGGGGGTACCAGGGTTGAAGGAGGAGGCGGCGGCCTTGAGGTCGAGGCCGGCGGTGAACATGCGCCCCTCGGCCCAGAGCACGATGGCGTTGACCTCGGGGTCGCAATCGAGCGCACGGAACACGCGACCGATTTCTTCAAAGAACTCGGCGGTCATCGTGTTCAGCTGCTTGGGCCGTGCCAGCACCACCTCAGCCACACCTTCGCCGGGCTTGTCGACCCGCAGGCATGTGTACTTCGAGTAGTCGCCCACAACGTGCTCCTTGCTCGACATGTCGTCGCAGAGTTTGTGAAGCTCTTTCTTTTTTCCTTTTCCTTTTTCTTTTTACATGAGGGAAAAGCCGCAAGGAAATGGAAAACTGCGAGCTGCAAAAGGGCAGGCAACATCAAAACAAAATGATGAGACGAACGATCGCCACGAGTGCTGTTTCTGCCACGAGAACGGCGGGCGCGACATGGAGCCGCAGCCTGGCGAGCACCTCGACGGTCCTCCAGGCTGCCCGCAAGCCGCGCGTTGGTGATATTGACACCAGCAAAGTGGACTTCACGGCAGGCATCAACTTCAACTCGCCTACCGATGAGGACCCCGTCAATGACGTGCAGATGGAACAAGTCGTCAGGCAGAAGTTCCGCAACCGCAAGGGATACCCGCACCCCTTCGATGAGCTGGACCCCACCGACGAGCCCTTCAACCCGAAGAAGGCCCAATTCCCCTTCTAATTGATTGTTCGTCAATTTTGGCCCTCAACATGTTGTTCATTGCTCCTCTTCGTTTCGCCTCTTACTGTTAGGAAGATTTATTTACAGTATATCCATTGCAACGCTAGTGGTGCTCTGCTGATCGTGTTCGCTGCTTCCGTTTTTTGATCTAGTCGCTGCCTTCGTCATCGTCCTCCTCGTCTCCATCCTCGAAATCATCATCATCGCCATCTTCAAAATCGTCCTCGAAATCCTCCTCTGCATCATCACCATAGTCATCGAATTCGTCGTACAAGTCCATGGGCTTGTTCAGTTCCTTGATCCTTTCGATCGCCTTCGCTCTTTCATCCTCGTTTGTGTCCGGATGAGGGATCTTGATGTGTCCATCAAACTCTGCGTTGGCTTTCGCGATGATCTCTTTGATCTTTCTCTTGTACCCAGGCATGTCCTTTCGCCACTGAACCTGTAGCGCAAAGGCACAGCAGCCAAGTGTGAGCCAGGTGGTGAGAGTTGCCAGCACGCAGCAGCAGCAACAACAAAGGAACGCACCGAAGCGTCGACGTTGGCAGGGCTGGAGAAGTTGGGGTCATTGAGCATGGACACTACGCTGAGCATGATCGTTGCCACAGATTGAGTGGGCAACCAGCGCTCCTCAGGCCGCTCGCCACTCATCTCGTCCTCGCCAGGCGGGTGAAGGATGGAGATGCAAACCTTACCGTCGGCAAACACTGCACAGCGTGCAAAAAGAAAGAAAGTCTTGGCGTGAGCGCGCCGAGGGGGTTGAGAATTGCACAACGACGTACCATTCGGGTGCCAGAAGTCAGAGATGAAGCGCAGCTCGGGAGGGGCCATGGGGTAGTCTCGCGGGAAGGCCATGTTGAGCTGGAACACACCACCTTCGTACATGGTGTCCTTGGGACCCTCGAGATAGATGCGCCAGTTGTAGAGGTTGGAATCGTCAGGGATTTCGGGAGCAAAGCCCTCCACAGGATCCGTCATAAGTTCTGTTGCAAGCAGCACGCGTGCAAAGCGAAGCAATCAATTAATGCGAGAAAACAAAGCGAGCATCGATGCGAGGACAAAGAAAGCGCCTGCAAGACTGTACGTACTCTTAAACTGCTGCTGCAGGAGCTTGGCCGCGGCGGCGTCAGACATCTTGGCTTGGGGAGAGAGGAAACGAGAGGTGAGGTTCTTGCTGGGGGAGTGAGGGTCTTTGCTGATCCTTTTCGCTACGCGTCGTTTGTTGTCAGCTTGGGTGTCTTTGGCAACGGGCCGGTTCGAGAAAAGAAGAGAAAAGTGCAATTAAAAAAGAACGGAAAACTCCGAAATCAATCAGAGATGGCGTCCACGAAATTCCACCAGACGAGCTAGGTCATGCTGGAATTTCCTGAGATAGTAGGTATGCGCCAGTGGCTCTGCTCGGTGTGTTCTGGCGGCCGCTGTGTCTTTTTGTAGTCTCTGTGCCCGCACGCCTGCCCCGATGCGCCACAACCCACAAACCCGTCGGGAGAAGGTGGCAACGGGCCACACGCGTGCAAACCATGTGCGTGGGCTGCGCGTGCAAGTCTGGCTGCAGGCAACACAGAAGACGACCGAAATTCGTAGAAACTGACGTGGCCATCGAGCACTGCGCGCAAAGCACCCCGCGCGTGCACCACACCTCAACGCGCCAAAAAGGAACCTAGGTCGGGCCGTTAGCAGAAGAGAGATAAGAAGGATGCAGAGCGAGATAGCGGTACAGGAAAACATCGACCCGCGAAACGTGAAGGCTAACCAGCAGGCCCGCGAGGCCGAGGCGATGGGACCCCACGGCCAGCAGCGCATGGCGTCGGTCCAGCGGCACAACCTAGACCCGCGCAACCTGCACGCCAGCCAGCAGGCCAAGCTGGCCGCCAACCACAAACACAACGGCAGCAAGAAGGAAAAGGACGAAATACAGAAGAAGAGGGAAGAGTTCGTGCAGCGGGTGGACTATGACCTTGCCCGCACCACTTCCACCGCCGCCCTGTAGTGAACAAGAAGTAAGAGAAAAAAATAAAGGTCAAAAAAAATAGAGGCAGCTTTTTTTATATTTTTATAATGAAGCGGCTGCAAAATAAATAATTATTCGTATTTGGAGGATTCGCGTCTTCTGGCATCGCCAGCGGGTCGGTACTCGTTTACTCATCGAGCTCCTGGTTACCGGTGAAGGTCTTCATGAAGAGGGAGGCGACGGCGGGGTTGCGTGGTGGTCGATCCGAGAGGCGCTGCCGCTCTTGCTCCTCCTCCGCTTCATCTTGGTCGCCTTCATCCGCTTCCTCGCCGTGGTGGCCATCCTCACCCTCCTCATCTTCTTCCTCTCCGCCCTCGCCCTGCCGCACATCTTCTTCACCTCCGGCCTCCTCCTCGTTCTCTTCGACCTGTCCTCCGCGTAGGCGGCTGCCGTCCAGTTCTTCGTACGGCACCTTGCTCTCTCGATCCAGGATGTCCTCGTCCTCGTCGTCATCTTCATCTTCTTCCACTACTTCATCTCCATCTCCATCTTCATGTTCCCCCCTTTCTCGCTCCTTCCCCTTCTCTCTCATTCCATCTTGAGCGTACTCGTCCTCTTCCTCCTCGTCTTCTTCTTCTGCGCTGCTGCACTCGTCCTCTTCCTCCTTCGTGTCTCCTCCTCCTTCGTGCTCTCGCCGCCTTCTTCGCTTCCTGAGCGGCGATGATCCCTTCTCCTCCGCGTCGGCCGGCTGCAGCTCCGCCGGCGTCGTTGTCGTTGTGTGCTGCTGCTGCTGCAGCAGCTCGGCCTTCCTCTTCCTCATGCCAGTTCCTCCGCCTTCCTCCTCGAATGGTGGGCTGTGGTGGTGGTTGGACGCCGTCGGTTCGTCCGCTTGTCCGACGACGTGGTGCTCTCCTCGTGGCGGGTGATCGTCGCCGGGGTGGTGCTGGTGCTGGTGCTGATGTTGTTGGCGGCGCTCTTCGCTCTGGCTGCTGCCGCCTCCGCCCGCGCTGCCGCGGTGGTGATCCATTGGCTGGGGCGCGTAGTGGTGAGTGGTGGGCGGAGCGGTTGATGGTGGTTGGGGAATTAAGTGTTGGTTCGTGGGCTGTCGCGCCGTGCAGCGCAAGTGTTGGGTGCGGTCCGACCGGGGGGTAACCAACGCGCGCCGCGGGGTGGAAAGAGTAGTGACGGCTGTTGTCCTTTCCTGCCGCAGCTTCGTGGGCTGAGTGTTAGGGTGTTCTCGAGCGACGTAAAGGTCCTTGAGTGTTGCGGTGTCGTGACGCTGGTGGTGAGCTTGTGGCGTGTGCACTCGTGCGAGTGGCTCGAACGTGAAGTGCAAGGTTGAAAGGTGGGATGTGTGGTGGTGGTCGTGTGTGTTCGTGCTGTCGTGTGGTTTGTCTCGGATGTGGAAACCAAGAGGTGTGACGTACAGAATCGATATGATAGCTCAGAGAAGACTACGAGGCAGGTGAAGAGGAGCATGTGACGCGAGCACGACGTCGAGGTGGCGAGGAGCGTGGCAAGACGCAACGCGATCTCCCCTGCAGCCGAGACTCGTGACGCACCCCCACGCAATCTCCCTGCAACCTCACAACCAATAGGATATCATTCCGGACATTCTGAACTGGCATTGTTGAAATTTCCAGAGGGGCTCCCCGTCGGAGTTTGTCCTGGCCTTAAAAGTTGTTGGTTGCGTTCCCCAACTTTGCCTTATCCAGCCGCGGGTACGCTTGCTTTCCGCCGTTAATCGGGCCTTCGACATGCCACGCGCACCAGGCCTGTTCGCCTGACGCAACCACTTGCTCCAGTGTCTTTATATGCTGATTTACACTATAGCCACTGCTCAGGGACGGCTGGGCCGCCTCCACCTGACCAGGCACCGACGCGCGAGATGACGAGATTTAGGCGGTCCAGGGGCAGATGATCATAATGCCCCTGTTGTTGCGCGAGGCCACCCACCAAGCGGAGGGGTCGAGGTGCCTGGAACGACCCTGCCCGGCGAACGTTCCAGCCACCGAGGATTGGCTCAGCCCCGAGTGCGCTCTTGGTCCCGTACGGAAGAGAACACAGGCCAGGCCGACGGTTGTTCTGCTCTTGCGCAAGCCACCGAGGCAAGGCGCCGCGGCAAACCGCCCTTCGAAGAAGAGCCAGTGATCACAAGATGACGGACACAACAAAAGAAATATGAAAAAGTTATTTTCTCTTTATTTCTTTTAGCAAAGAATGTCAAACGCAAGACGGGAATTCCTGCCACAGCTGAGCGGGAAGCAAATTGGAAGCAGGTGGGGTCGAAGTTCGTGACCCACAGCCGCGATCGGCCTTCACTTCGACCTTGTCGTTCGCTTTGTTGATGTCCACATTGTTGTTGCAACTGGGCCATTACCCCAATTACAGTTCCACCAACCGCCTGGGCCAGATAGTGAGGTCCAGAGAAAGTCCGTCGAATGTCAGGTGGAGGTGCAGTGCGTGATGACGATGGAATGTAACGCGAGCAACGCACGAACTTCCTATGCTGGCCCGCGGGTTGGGGCTCGTCAGATACCGTAGCTGGCGGAGCTGGACATGAAGAACTTGTTGAGCTCCTGCGACGCCACGGGGTAAGTTACGCACCGTTGTCTGCGTGTGCGTGAGTGTGCTGTGTGTGGTGTGCGGTGGCGTGCGATCGCGATGCGTAGGTTACCTTCATCAGCGCGCGCGAGGGTCCCTTGCCCTGAGGCACCTGTGCCGCCACGAACAGAAGCGCTTTTTGAATGCGCGGCTTGGTGACGGGTGACGCGGGCCTCTCCTGCAGTGTCTCCCACGTCGCTCCTGTGGCGTGTCGCGTGAGTCGCACCGCGTTGGCCCGAGGAACAAGCGCCGTGGGTGACGAGTTTGGGGGCGGGTGCGCACCATCAAAGTGTCGAAGCAGAATCGCCACGCATAGGAATGAAGCGACGGCGAGGGACTGAGCGTTGTGGACGAGAACCGGCTTCCCTTGGCGCAGACGCTCGTAGGCCGCGGGGAGGGCTTTGTCCAAGAGCGAGCACACCTTCTGCTTGTCCCGCTTACCCTGCTGCACCCCTCCTCCATAGACAACCTCTTCAATCAAAATTTGTCGTGTGTCGTGTAGTGTGGCATTCGGCATCGCGTACCGGCAGAGGAACGTGCAGGTAGGTCGTGTCGCTTTGCTGGAGTTGGCCCGCGTGACCCTGCGGGTTCGCATCGGCGCAGTTGATCACCAGGCCGAACTGCTTCCATACCTGTTCGAGTCGGGGCGTGGGTGTGGGTAAGTTTGTGCGTGGCTTGTGCGGTTTGAACGCATCAACCAACAAGTTTACCTCGGGTCGCACGAGGGCGTGCACGTCGTCGGCCACTGCAATGCCCGTCTGGCCGATCCAATGCAGCTGTTGAGCCGTGCCCTCCCCGCCCGTCGTCAGCTCGGCGAGCGCTTGCGTGCGCTGCTGCTTGTACCGGGCGACGACCTCGCGAATGCGCTCTTCGACAGTGTCCTGCGAGGCGTACTCGAGGATGTGGTCGTGATGGTCCCAGAAGAGCGCGGGCGTGAGGCCCATGGCCCAGCTCTCTTCGTCGTCTCCCGCGCCTTGGATGTACTGTGTGTCCTCCACCAGCGAAACGTGGGCCGTGGAGACCAACACCAGCGGCTTTACCGTACCCCCACCTTCACGCGACACGCACGCACGACACGCACGACACGCGCAACAGAACACGTGAGTCCGAGCGCAGCACGTCGTGTTGGTGGTGTAGGGCGTCGTACAAGTGAAGTCGGGGAGCTCACTGGTGGTGCTCCATGGCAGTGGGTACTCAGGTGCGATCCACGCCGGCCGAAGCGGCCGTTGCAGGTTGTCCCGTATCTTCTCGAGCGTCAGCTGATCGCTGTAGTGGTGGGTGGCAATGAGTGGGGCAGCGCGTGTGGTCGGCTGGGCTTCGGGCTGGGACTGTGTGGTCGGCTTACCTGGCCAGCAATTGTTCGACAAACCGTTCCAGTTTCCTCTCGGTCTGCGCGCGCTCACTATCGCCCACCCACGGAGGCATACACAATCGATCCCACCGCTGCTGTTCGTCTTCGCTCGCTGAAGGGCCTTCAGCGTCGGCTCTCCGTAGTAGCCGTAGCCGATAACACGTGCGATTGATCACGCACGCCCATATGGGAATCGTGCGGCTCATACTATCGGGAAAGGCCTTGCCTTTGCGGGTCGAATCGACAATCATGCCTTGCAGCGTGTGCGTGTGCGTGTGCGTGTGCGTGTGCGTGTGCGTGTGCGTGTGCGTGTGCGTGTGCGTGTGCGTGTGCGTGTGCGTGTGCGTGTGAGTAAACGCCTGTGGGGCATCAGGTAGGCAGGAACGTACATCCATTGTGCTGCGCCACCTGTAGGACGACGTGGGCGTTCAGTCGGCTCAGGTTGAATTGCCACTGGCCCGTGTGACCGTCGGTCGACTACTGGTGATCACACAAACACGCGGAACCACCACCAACCACTGAGCCCAACAGACACAGAAGCACCACACCCACGACTACTACGGGGCTCTAGCCGTGCAGGCAGGGATCGAGTCTTACCTTGAAGTAGCACGTGAACGCCGGTGGCGGATGGCAGTACCACAGCCCGCACCTCAAGTTGGCACCCAGCGGCCACTCTGGCCACGCACTGTATCGCCACCACCATCATGTCAACCAACCATCACCAGCGAAACAATCATCATCTTGCGTCTTGCGTCGCGTCTTGGCGAGCACCTGCGGAGGCGGTCCAGGAAGAGGGCATCGCGTCGGATGGAGTGGAGGCGCGGCGCGGCATTGCGTTCCTCCCGCCGCAGCTGGCGCACGAAGCCGTACACTTCGCGAGCGGCACCGCTGCCGCCGCCCCCCGGCACGCCCCCGAACTGCCCGCCACCCTCCCGCCACTCCACGGCCGCTGCCGCTCTGGCCACCCTCACTTCTTCTTCATCCTCGTCTTCATCCTCACCCTCATCTTCATCTTCGCCACCCCTGGCAAAGTAGTCCTCTTCCTCCATTTTGTTTATTATTATAATTATTTATATTCATTTTTTAATTGGTAAATATGAGTATTGTGCCAGGAACGGAGCTATTCCCTGAGGTTTGTTTGGTTTCATCTCGAACAAGTACGCGATGGGCTTTGCACGGCTGGTGGCGGCGTCGGTGGTGTATCCGACCCTCGTCGCGGTCCTCATCCTCACTGGCCTGGTGGCCTACGCAACAATCTTCACCGGCCGGGACTCTGCCCCGCACCACTGGAACGCCAACAAGCACGTCCACACCGACGGCCTCACCTTCGTACCTCCACCCAACATCTATTTTTTCTTCTCTTTTTTTCCCATCTTTTCTACGCACGTAGCGCTGAGCTGATGAGGGGTCATGGGCAGACGTCGGTGGAGACGAACGGGGTGCGGCTGAACGTGATTGAGGCGGGCGATCGCGCTTCTTCGTCGAAGAAGCTCGCCGTCCTGCTTCATGGCTTCCCCGAGACGGCGCTCCTCTCCTGGCACGAGCAGATCCCAGTGCTCGTGGCTGAGGGCTACTTCGTGGTGGCGCCTGACCAGCGCGGCTACAACCAGAGCGCAAAGCCCGAGAGCGTGGAGGCCTACTACATCGACCACCTCGCCGACGACGTCAAGGGCCTCCTCGACCACTACGGCTGCACCAAGGCCGTGGTACGCTTCAACCCACCCTAACCTGTCGTATCGTGTGTGGCAAGACACTCATTGCAACGCCATCTCAGGTGATCGGACACGACTGGGGCGCTGCGGTTGCTTGGTGGTAAGTTGACGCTGTATCGGGGACGAATGACCGTCGCGACGGGCAGTGACAAAGTGTGTCCTGGTTGATGGCCAGGTTCGCGCAGAGGCACCCGGAAGCTGTGGAGAAGCTCGTGGTGATGAACGTGCCGCACGGCCGGGCATTCAAGGAGCACCTCAGCTCGAGCCTCTCGCAGCTGATGAAGAGCTGGTATGTCTTCTACTTCCAGCTGCCCTACCTGCCCGAGCTCAAGCTTGCCCAGTACGTGCTATCCACAGTCCCTCTTCCCGGGTTACTTTGATCGTTCCGTAACTCCCAAGTGAATCACAGCTGACAGTTTCTCGCCGCACGCACCACCGCACACGCACCACCACACACGCACCACCACACACGCACACGCCACGCACCGATGCGTGCTTCACAGTAACAACTACTCGTTCCTGCAAGGAATTCCGGCCGGTTCAGGGATCGTTGGCAAAACCTTCCCGCTGGACAGCTTGCCCAGGTGACCCAGTCACCACCGCCACTACTACGGCGCGTTGTGTTGCTGATCCTTCCCATGTTACCTTCGTACCACACAGGTACATGCAGGCGTGGAGCGAGCCCGGCGCGCTCACCGGCATGCTCAACTGGTATCGCGCCACCTTGCGGTATGCCAAGCGCGCTAACGGGGTACACACACGCACGACTCACACACAACCCACACGACACACCACCCACCCGTTTGAAAAACACACTGGTCTGGCCCTCCCCCCCAATTCATTGCCCCTTTCCCTCACCGCAGGTGGACCCGACCATTCGCGTCCCGACCCAGATCATCTGGGGCAAGAAAGGTGCGCGGCCCTCTTCTTCCCCTTCGCTCGCCCTGCCAGCGCCCCGACTGCTGCGCGGCTCTGATGGGTGCGCCGTCGGTCGGTCGATCAGATATCGCGCTTGACTCAGAGATGGTGGAGAAGTCGCTCGCCTTCTGCGCCCCGGGCATGTGCAAGGCGACCTATTTCGACGACGCCACGCACTGGGTGCAGCACGACGAGCCCGAGAAGGTCGCACACCTCCTCACCTCCTTCCTCTGCTCCTAATAACCAGCCGAGCTTGTTTCATGTGCAGCCAAAGCAAAGGGCGTTTTTAGTTTTCCGTGTGCGATGTGTGCGGTGTGTGTGGCCGCTTCAAAGCGGGTGGTCACTTGGCGGGAGTGTCGACCAGGCGTTCCAACCACTCGGGTACCTCCTGCCGCGCTTCGCGCAGGAGCTCAACCAGGTCGGGCAGCACGGCGGCGTCGCGTTTGGGCGTCACCAACACAGTGGTGTGCCCGTACACCCCCAGGCCGGCGTAGCCCACCACGTGCGGCGGCATGTCGTACGTGTCTATGCTGGGCGGCATGTCGTACTCGATCATGTGCAGCTGCCGGCTGTCATCGCGGTACATCCACTCCCGCACCGTCACCGCCGTGGCGACCAGCACAGGCGCCGCGCCCGACAGGAACGACGCCATGGCGGCTGCGCGCTCGTGCATCGACAAGTCGCCGTGGACGACCACCACCGGACCCGGCGTGCCGGGCTGGCCCGCGAGGTACGCGGCGAACTGGTCCACCGCACGCTTGGACCGGATGAAGATCGCCGTCAGGCGCTTCACACCGTCGCCGGTGCTGTTGGGGCAGTGGTTGTTCTCGCTGGTGTAGCCGCGGTGGTGCTCGCGCAGGAGGCTCATGACGGCCTGGGGCTTGTCGCTCTCGTCGTCCACGCGCAGCAGCGTCTGGTTGGTGGCGACGGCTGGCAGCCATTCGGGGACCTCCTGCTGGTTCTCGCGTAGAAGCTCAACCAAGTCGGGCAGCACACCGGCATCGCGCCTGGGAGACACGAAGACCGTCGTAGTGCCTCCCGATGCACCCAGGCGGGCGTAGCCCACATGATACACGTACTCGTCGATGTGGGTCGGCATGTCGTACTCGACCACGTGCAGCTGCCTGGCGTCGTCGGGCCCGATCGTGCCGCGGACCGACACCGCGGTGGCGACCAGCACCGGCGCCGCGCCTGCGAGAAACAGGGACATGCGGGACTCGCGCTCGCGCTGGGCGTGTCGCCGTGGATCGCGACCACTGCCATGCCGAGCGCAGCAAGCTCGGGCTGGCGCGCGAGGAATGCGGCGAGCTGGTCCACCCCGCGCTTGGTCTGCACAAAGATCGCCGTCAGACGCTTGGTCCTGGTGCCCGAGGTGGCCGAGCCGTCATTCTCGGCATTCTCGGCATTCTTACGCAGGAGGAGCTGGACCAGGGCCTCGGGCTTGCCGCGCTCGTCGTCGACGCGCAGCAGCGTCTGGGTGACGGCGGCCTGCGGCGAGGGCCGATAGCGGCCGACGACGAGGGTCAGCCGCCTCGAGTCCCTGAGCTCCTGCGACGCGAACCGCTTCACGCCAGCGGGCAGCGTGGCCGAGAACAGCAGCGTCTGGCTGGTGACATTCTCAACATTCTCATCACCATCGGCGCCGGCACCACCGGCGGTGATGATGTAGTCGAGCTGTCGACCTAAGTCTGCCTCGAGGAGACGATCGAGCTCGTAGAGCACGACGAAGCGGAGGCTGTCGAGCGATACGTGGCGCCGGTGGACGCTGTCGGCCAGCTTCTCGGGCAAGCTCACCAGGACGTCGACGTCATCGACATCACCGGCACCGCCACAGCCCAGCAGGCAGGAGCGTAGCGGGCCGCCGAGGGTCAGCCTGCGCACCTCGTCCAGGATCTGCTGCGCCAGCCCGACCCACGGCGCCACGATCACAGCCTGCAGCTGCTGATGAGTGGTGGCGGGTCGGCCACCGCGGTGGTGGAGTGCGGAGATGAGCGGCGCAAGGAAGGCGACGAGGGTGGTCGATTCGTGGGTGGGCGCGATGACCAAGAGGTCGTGGCCGGCCCGGACGATGGGCATGGCGTGCCGCTCCAGCAGCGTGGGTGGCCTGTCCGCGGCGCCAGCGGGCTCGTCTTGTCGCAGGAGGTTGCGGAGAACCAGCGGGTCCAGCCCGCCCTCGGCGAACGAGGCCACGGGGCTCGGGCTGGGAACCGGCTGCGTGGTGTCGGCATCGACCACCTCGACGGGCAGGTCGGGCCACTGGCCGGCCGCGGCGTGGAACTGGCGGTTGGTCGCCCCCCAGTTGTCGCGGTCGAGCGGCAGCGGTCGTGGTGTTGGCCCTCGTTGCTGCTGCTGCCGGTTGCGCCGTTGGTGGGGCGGCACGTAGAGTGCGCGGCCACTGTCGCGCCGGCCATCGATGCTGCCAACGCGAGAGAAGGAGTGGTGTTCGGGGTTCAACTCAAGAGTGTGGTGCCCACGCTGGGGCGGCGCTTGAGTTAAACCATGGCGGTCATGTTGCGAGCTGTGGCGCATCAACCTTGAGCTTGGTCAGTGTGGTGATGCACAACTTGCCTTGGTCGTCCCCCCCAACCATATTTCCTGCTTTCTTCTCCGAAGCCTTGCGGTGAATCCCCCCTTGGCTGAGTTTCTTTTGGGGTGTGCCCCTTGGTGCAACATACACTTTGATGCCCACAGAACTACTGCAGACCTCGCGCCACACTCACGCTCGTTGCCCGCGTGTGGATCCACATACTCGCCGTGGGGTTATTGTCCGCAGGTCTCCGACGTATTGGATTATGGGACATTCCGCACATTCCTTGTTAGCGGACCAATTGGGAGTGGAATTTGGGAGAAAAGAGCCTCATGCTGGACTTCCAAGGCATGTTGCGCCGCGAGGACCTGGCGAAAACCGGGTGCCTGGTCGGTCGGACCTAATCCTTGCGGCTCTTTTTGTAGGTGGCCCAATTACCTGATTGGCCGCCAGACTCCCCGCTCCTGGTACTTAAAGCTCCACAGCTGGTCTGACCAAAGTACTTCATCTCTCACAACCCACAACTACAGAGCCCTCTACTCCACCACCATCAACCCCAATCTCTAGAGATGAAGAGCGTACTCGGGCTCGTGATGCTGGCCGCCGTGGTGATCATGGCCCGGGCGCAGAACCTGGACTGCGGCGCTGACTTTTTCAGCAATGGCGACGGCTGCTGCCCGATCTTCCTCAACGGCTCGGCCTACTACCCCGGCGCCGATGGCTGCTACCCGATCCTCACCGACCTCGGCGTGCAGTACTCGGACGAGTTCGGCTGCTACCCCGACCTTGAAGTACGCCCCGGCTTCTTGCGTGGAATGTATGAATGTGCTGCGGAATGTGCATTCCTGGAATAAGTCGCTGACGTGTAACACAGGGCTTCTACGAGGGCGTTGAGAACTGCACCAACCCGTGCGCGCCCGAGTGCTTCAACACGACCCAGGGCGCCCCGACCCCCTCCCCCACCCCGATCGTGAGCACCCCTGCCCCCGAGGCCTCGCCCTCCCCGTCGGCTTCCCCCTCGGCCTCCGCTTCCCCTTCGGCTTCTCCCTCTGCGTCGCCCTCGGCTTCGGCTTCCCCCTCGGCCTCCGCTTCGCCCTCGTCTTCGCCCTCTGCTGCGCCCGAGACCCCCTCCGCCTCCCCTTCGCCCTCTTCGTCGCCTGCCGCCAGTACGTCCACTACTTCTTGCTCGCTCCATTGGTGATGATGTTGTTGATGATGATGATGATGATGGCTAACCTGGTCCATCACCAGTTCCCACCGGCCCTTGCGAGTCGACCAACCTCTACAGGGACGCGAACGGCTGCTGCCCGGCTCTGATCAACGGCGTCGCTGTCTACAGGAACGCCGAGGGCTGCTACCCGATCAACACCAGCGTGGGCATCGTCTACCCCGACGCCAACGGCTGCTACCCCAACGACGACGGCGTCTACGTGGCCGAGGGCGAGGATTGCCCCGAGGCCCAGCAGTGCGCTGCCCAGTGCCTCGATGAGTAAACGGCCCCATGGCAAGAAGGCCCAGATCGACACCTTCACGACTCCTCCGATGAGGAGACGTTCTTGTGAATAGCGCATAAAACATGCTTGCACCACACAACACTGCCATGTTTCCATTGGAATGTGAAGAATGACACACACATTACTATTCAGCAAGACGCGACGGCACCTTGTTGGGCGAAGCGTGAGAGGGTGGTGCGGGCGAGGGGTCGGCCGAGCAGGGTGATCCCGGTGGTGCTCTCCACCTCGACCACCACGTAGTCGCCCGGCCGCACCTCCACCTTGGCCGCCGCACCGCCTGTGGTAGCGCCACCGTACTCGGCATCGACCTTCATGTTCGGGAACACCACCTTCTTGTTGTTGTCCGTCCGGCCCATAAGATCGTCGGACGAACGTCTGCTGGTCTGCAGATGATGAAGACGAAGAAGAAGTAAATAAATGAAAAGGAATGAATGAGGAATGAATGAATGAGGAGTTGATGGTGGTCGAGTGATGTACCCCTTCGACGAGGACGAGGTGGCGTCGGCCGATCTCCTCCCTGCTCTTCTCGGCGAGCGTGGCGAAGAAGGTCTGGATCACCTCCTTCAGCCGCTGCTGCTTCACCTCCTCCGGCACGTTGTCCCTGCCCACCAGTTAGCCAACGAAATAGTAACGATTGAATAACTAGAATAAATAAAAGAAAAATAGAATATATATATATTAAAGAATAAAATAGCATGTAAAAGGTTGGCCCGTACTGAAGTGTTCGGTGGGCGTTGGTCTTTTCGCGCATCGAGTAGGCGAACATGAACGCCTGATCGAACCTACACGCGGGTAGTGTGAGATTGAATGGTGGCAGAGTAGTCGACTGTAGCCCAGCAGTACCTGACTTCCCGCAGGAGGGACAAGGTGTCCTGGTGGTGCTCTTCGGTCTCGCCACAGAAACCGGAGATGAAGTCACTGGACAGGCCCACGTCTTGCAAACCACACGACACACACGACGCACACGACGCACACGACACACACGACACACACGACACACACGACAGCCTCAAGGGTTAGCTCGCTCGTGAACTCATTGAATGTGATGAATGTGTGGCATGCGTAGCAGTACGTACTGGGGATGACTTCGCGCATGCGCTGGATGAGTTCGAGATAGGCCTCGCGTGTGTAGAACCTTCGCATGTTGTGCAGCACCTCCGAGTTGCCGCTCTGCGCCGGGATGTGCACTGCGTTGCACAGGTTGGGCCGCTCCGCAATCAAGTGCAGCAGCTGCGGTTGACACACCCCCACATTCATTTTGTGAGCATCTCACCGCACACAGACTCGCACTCGCACACGCACCACCGCACACGCACACGCACACCACCGCACACGCCGCGCACACGTCGTCGTACATCGTCAGGGAAATCCTTGGGGTGCGGGCTGGTAAAGCGGACCCGCATCTCGGGATCGATCCGCGACACCTGGTCCATCAGCTGCGTGAAGCGAACGCCTCCCGGGTTGGGTTTGACCATGCTCCCGAAGCCCCTGGGCGAGTATTATCATTAATATTGAATAAATATATAGAAATTATAGTTATATAAAGTTAATAGGTTTTATATTATATTTATATTTAGAAATGGGCGCGTACTTGCTAAGGAGCTGCGTGGGATCGGACACGGGGAAGGTCTGCTCGGAGAGGTCGTTGTAGGAATTCACGTTCTGTCCGAGCAGCACCACCTGCGCGACGGGAACGCGAACGCGGGCGATTGAGTGTACAGCAGCGGAGCAGGCCAGTACTGGAGTGGTGGGACGCCCGAACGAACCTCTTTGACGCCCTGGTCGGACAGTTGGCGCACTTCGTCCAGAATGGACGCGATCGGACGCGATCTCTCGCGTCCCCGCGTGAACGGCACGATGCAGTACGAACACATGTTGTTGCACCCGCGCATAATTGACCTGCATCCCACGTGCAGCGCAGCGTGTGCGGTGGTGTGTGGTGGTGTGCGGTAGTGTGTGTGTGTGTGTGTGTGGGCGTGTGTGGTGTGGTGTGGTGTGTGTGTCAGCGCTCAGGGCCTTGGAACCAGAGAGGGAGCCGTGAGCGTACAAATAAGCGGAAAGGTTGTTGGAGGTGGTGCGAACGGGCCGGATGTCGGCATAGGTCTCCTCCATGGACAGCTGGACGTTCATCGCCGTCTGCCCGCTCTCCACCTCAGTGAGCAGCGAGGGCAGCGACCGGTAGGCGTCCGGACCCACCACCAAGTCGACCAGCTTGTCGCTCTCCAACAGCCGCGACTTGAGCCGCTCGGCCATGCAACCGAGCACACCCACCACTCGCTTACTCTGTTGTAGGTGTGTGTGCGTGCGTGCGTGCGTGCGTGTGTGTGTGTGCGCGCGCGCGCGCGCGTGTGCGTGTGCGGTGCCGCAGGTCAGGCTGAGGCCAAACTTTGGAAGAGTGATGAACTGGGCGCGTTGTACCTGCTTGTTGGCCCTCTTCATGTTCTTGAAGTGGTTGAGGCGATCCCACACCTTACGCTCAGCGTTGTCGCGGATGGCGCACGTATTTACAAAGATGATATCGGCCTGGCCATGACAACACACACAACACGACACACAACACGACACACGCCACACGACACAGCGACAGCGAGTGTTATGCCACTGATAGAGAATAGAATAAGGAACAGAAAAAGAAAAGAGAGATCGACGTACGTCGTCCAGGGCGGCGGTCTCCTCGTAGCCGGCCTTCTGCATGATGGACATCACGATCTCTGAGTCCGACGAATTCATCTGGCAGCCGTACGTTTCCATGAACACCTTGCGCTTGGCTTCTCATTCGCCAGCACACGACACACGACACACGACACACACGACAAAAGCACGACCGCACACGCACACGCACACGCATACGGCACATGTACGTTAGTGTTTACCCTGACGTCTTCGTGAGGGAATGCATGTGTGGCGCCGTACGTGTGTTCTCGCTTTGGTCGAGGAGGTGCCGCGGGAACGAAGAGGGCAGGTCGAGCTCGACATCTGCCGCCGTAGTGGTGGCCGAAGAAGATGCAGATGAAGGCGCCGCGGAGGAGGACCGGATGAAGTCCGCCAGTCCCGGCCCATTCTTGACCTCCTCGGCAAACGTCGATGCCGCCCTTCGCCCCGGCGGCATCTTGGCCAGCACCAACGGCCCTCCCGTAGCCCGCGGCAGCGGCTTTCCAAGAAATCATCATCGATCGATTAAATTTGGATTGCAATTTAATTCAGATTCGTGATGGGGAGTGCGTACTGCGTGCAGGCTACGGCCGTGACAAAAGGCGCGACGGCCCACACCTATCCTGTTCAGCTCCATCCCGAAACTTAATCTTTGTTGAATTTTGTGTAACGGAGTTGGGTTTGGTATTTTCTTTTGAATTTATTTGTCTGTTTTTGGGTTTTTGAATTTATAAATAAAGAACATGAGCCGCAAGCGGGCGCTGAGTGAGCTCTAGATATCGGCGTAGGTCACCTTGTCGTCTAGGTCGATGAAGACGACGTTGTGGGCTTCGAGCAGCTTCACGGCGTCGTCGGGCGCCACCTCGTCCTTACTAACACACAGCTGCCGCAGCGAGTTCTTCAGCGCGTCGAGCGTCGTGGGCTTGTTGAGCGGCGCTTCCACCCACTCCCTGCACCTCACCAACGCCTATAGACGAACCCCATCGCACGCAAAGTGAGCACCACGTGCGTGTCGTGTCGTGTGTGTCGTGTGTGTCGTGTGTGTCGTGTGTGTCGTGTGTGTCGTGTGTGTTGTCATAGGGTTGCGGTACGAGTTTGGCGGGATCCTTGCGGGTTTCGTTGGCCATGCGATAGGACTCGCGGGCGACAAAGCTGTTGGTGCTGAACCTGTCGCTCTCCTCAGCCGCCTTCTTCTTGAGGAACGTGATCTTTCCCGCACCATCCACACTGAAGTGGCCCTCGCTCTGCAGCTGTCGCACGGCTTCGTCCACGTCGAGGTGCTGGGCCTATATTCGAATTCAATTCAAGTCAGCGCCCGCGCCTGCAAACAGACACGCACGCATGCAAACAGACACACACACAAAGGCAAGGTACCTTGACGGAGCACATGGGCTTGATCGCGGCGCGGAGCTTGGCCTTGGTCTTGGGCAGACTTGCCTTGGGTCCCGCCGAGTTGCGCGCGATCCACTGCGTAACGTACCAGCCAGCAAGGTCAAACCAAACGTCAACCACGCAAACAAAGGGCGACAGAGACTGTCGACGTGGCCATCATCACGACGCCGGTGGGAGAGGGTGGGGGGGGGGCGTACCACTTTGAGACGCTCGATCACGATGCCCTCCGTTTCGTCCGGCTGGGGCGGAGTCTTGTGGGCGCCTGTCTCCGACTTTGACCAAAATCAGGAAAAAAATGAGCGTGTGCGGTGGTGGTGTGTGCGTGTGTGCGCGCGGTGCGTACCGATTGTCTGGTAGGGGACGGCCTGGGCGCCCGGGTCTGAGGCTGGGGTTGCGCAGGTTGGTTGCGCGCGGGGCTGGCAGACACCGAGGAGGGAGCAGTGCGGGCCGGCGTCGGGGCCACGCCGAGCGGCACGGTGTTGATCACCTCGAAGGGGTCGGTCGATGTCCTGCTAATGAGCTGCACGTGGTCCACACGCCACTCGATCGGTTTCCACGAGCGCAGCAGCTCGGCCTTCTTCCTCTCGGCCATAGCCTGCGGCCGACCGAGAAGCGTCAACGTCAGTGACCGCACCACACACCACGACACACACACGACACGCACGACACGCACGACACACACGACACGACACGACATACCTTGCCCCTAAATTGGCCTACGGTGAGGTGAGCATGGAAGCCGTCCTCGCTCTTGGTCGATTGTTCGTTGCACGCCGGGAAGACGCGTTCCAGCGCCGCCTGCAGCTCGCGCAGCGCATTCGGAGGCTGCACACCAGACAACAGACCGCACACGCCACACGCACACGACAGGGTGAACACGTACGCCACAGCGATCGCACACAGCACACAACACGCGCATAGAAACGACACAACGCACGACACAACGCACGACACGCAAGCCCACAACAAGTCCGCACCTGTACGGTGGGCTTGAGGAAGAGGGTACAGCTGCTGGCGCCGTGCTCGAAGTAGTCAAACGTTTCGAAGCGCACGGTGAAGGGAGCCACGCCGGCGAGTCCCGCCTTGAGCTCGGGCAGCACCGACTCGAACTGGGACTCTGTCGCCGGGCACACAAGATATGTTAATTTATTTATTAAAATAAAAGTAATTAATTAACATTCAGCAAGGGTAAATAAATGGACAGAAATAAATATAATAAATAATAAATAATAAATTAAAAAAACGGGGGGAGGACGTACGAGGGAAGAACGGGTAGATGAGATTGATGTGGGGCATCCAACGCTTGTAGGCCTTATCGAACTTCAGCCTGATGTCTTGGATGGGTCCCCACGTATCCTTGGGCGGCGACACGATGATAGCGCTCGTTACCACTTTCCTTCCGTTCATTGTTGTCGATTTCAGATTACTTTGCTTTTCTGGTTATCGCTCAAGTTTTAATAGATGTCGCGGTAGTACAGCGCACGAAGAAGAGCAGAAGAAGGCGACGAGCGGTCCTCGCGACTGGCCTGTGTGCGTCAAATCGATTTTATTTTTATTCTTATTTTCGGACAGTCTTTTCCAATTTTAAGAAAAAGAAAAGAAGTACTTCCCTTAAAACGGCAAATTCATTTTATTATCTTTATTCATTTAAAAATACCAACGACCAAGATGGGGCAGGGCGAAGTGGACGGCTGCAGCAGCTTCTTTGACGCGGTGGCAGACGTGCCCGTGGAGGTGGTGCTGGCCGTGCTGGAGCGGCTCACGATCGCTGACCTGACGCGGGCCGAAGCCGTCTGCCGGCGGTGGCGCTCCTTTTTACACGACTCGAGCACGCTCTGGCGGACCGTACCACACTCCACCTTCTTTTCCTGTTATATTTATAAATTATTTGATTTAATATTTTTATTAATTTTAGTTCGAATATAAAATTAAAATTAGTTGGGGGCAGGCCCACGGGAGAGAGTCCGGAGGACCGTTGCCGGCGCCTCCGCCAGCGGCCAAGGACGCGGCCAGCCGACGGAAATGCGAGCGTAGAGCGCGAGTGCACGAGCGCAAGCGCGGCGACTGGCGTCTGTTCAGCCAGCACTCCCTGCGCACCCTGCACAGGTGCCTAGGCACACGCACACGTACACGCACCACCGCACACACGAGAAGACAATTGATGGTGGGTACCGCGCGCACGCACACGCACGCACACGCACACGCACACAGGCTCAGTGGCGGCAAGCTGACACGCCAGGCCAACGTCGACGAACTCACCACCACTGACGCGGCGGCCGATCCGGTCGCGGCTCAGGAAATCGTAGTCAAGGCCCTGCTCCGGTGGACGATCTCGTGCGACCACCACGCCGCCCTCGCGCGCCTTGTCCGCGCCCCGGCGCCCCACGGCCCCCTGGCCCGCACGCTCGTCCACGGCTGGTTCGACGAAGCCGACCACCACCACCACGACAGCGATGGCGGCGGCGGCGGCCGTGTGCTCCGTCGGGTGCAGCCACTGCAGTGGGCCTTGAAGGGCGCCGGCGCCCGCGGCGGCGCGGTGTATCGCATGCTGGTGGAGGAGCTGCGGGTAGCGGAGGTGGACCTGCCGCGGGTCCCAGCCGGTGCCACCTGCCACCAACTGCCCGGCACCCTCCAAGAGCAGTTCCACGCTGCCTGTACTCACTTCCTCACTACTCACGCCTCTCGTGTGCGAGTGCGTGTGCGTGTGCGTGTGCGTG